TCGATCTTACCCTCATCACTTCGCTGCACTGAGTATATGATCTGACCTTGACGCGTCCAATCACAGCGGGGCTGACCTCCCTGCACCCCACCGACTTTAGCGATTTTGATTCCAAACAAAATTTGTGTGATGCGGACTCTAGTGGGGGTGCTCCATGACTCCCACCATACCTTTACCCTCTATGTAGAGCCGAACATGGACGGACGGACAAACTAACCTTTTTTTTTAACGGTGGAAAATGCATTTACGCACCATATCGCGCGCTTGCTAGGCGCGCGACGTTATGGGGCTCCGCGGCGCGGAACAACGCCGGTCCTACCCACTAAAAACCACCGGTATCACCACCTGCGTGCGCCACTACACCAGAGCGTCCTCGGGCTGGGCCGGCCCAACGAGTGGACCGGGCGACGCGCCTATGGGGGATTACTCTAGGGTACTAGGTAATCCCCAGACGGGGTGGCCTATGCCGAATGGCACCAAGGACGTGCGGCTGGCATGCCGCGCCCAGATCACCTTAAGGCCGACGAAGACCGGCGGTCAAAGCCGCCTGCCTTCTTCGGCACGGACAAACTAACCTACTAAATAAGTAAAATTTTCTTTAGATTTATAATTCTAGCTTTAAATGCTTCAAAGGACATGGTAAAGTTTTGTATGAGCGACTGCCCTAGCAAAGTATGAAAATATTTTACTTAATAATATTTTGGTGCTGAATGGCTGAAACTTTATAATTTCTATGAAAAAAGGCTCAGGAACTTCTGATAAAGTAACAATACTGAAAAATATGTAAACACCTACTACAACATTATCTTGCTACATTTGATAAAAAATATTGGCAATTATTTTACAGAACCATCTATTTCGCATTTTCTTAGAATCTTTTATCCAATTTCTTTGATTAATACTTCAAAAAACGTGATTTAAATCAAAAATAAATACAAATAATTTGTTGTTTTTGGCCTGACAGGAAATCTGAGAAGTTTTATTTTGTTCATTTGCAAAAATTAAAGAATTAATTATAACCTTTCAGTGATTTCTTATTAAAATAGGACCTAGAATTGCATAGTTCTTATGAGTTTGGAATTAATATTTTTTAATTCGACATATTTACTTAAATAATGTTTGTGTAAATTTATTGATAATTTATTTTTGTAAAACGGAATATTTTCCTTTTGGAACAGACATAAAGTCAATTTATATCTAATATATAAAATTCTCGTGTCGCGGTGTTTGTGGTTAAACTCCTCCGAAACGGCTTTCCCGATTCTCATGAAATTTTGTGTGCATATTGGGTAGGTCTGAGAATCGGACAACGTCTATTTTTCATCCCCCTAAATGTTAAGGGTAATCCACCCCTAATTTTTTTTTTCAATTTTAGGTTTTTAGATACATCATACAAAAATACATACAACCCTAAATTTTCACTTTTCTACCACCAACCCCTATTTTTTTATGGCGGTACGAAGTTCGCTGGGTCAGCTAGTACTTTTATATATTTGATTATTTCACGAAAATTTTATGAGAATAATAAACACGTAATAATTATTAAACAAATATTTTAATGTTTCGGACTAGTGCGAAATAATTATACATGTTAAGGGCAGTTCCTTAGCCATGTCCTTTGCACTATTTTGCATTACGATGTTTTAATTATATTTTGTCTCGTTTCAATCAGCTATAGGTCTTCTGGGCGGTTTGCTGGGTAAGTTCTAATTAAAGTGAATTATTGTTCTTTTTTAGTAATATTTGCCTTGGGATTAGGGTTACCAGATTGCTAAATTTAAAAGGCAGACAGACCAGCCAGTTTGACCAGATATTTGGGTAAAAAATTCCGGATAGCCTACATTATTAAAGATTTTGTGGCGCAGTAATATTAGGTACGACAAATTTTGACGACTTTTTTGTAAGAGCGATTGACAGTCAACTTGCTTGAAAACGCTTGCGCTCGGCGACGCTCGGCGCTCGCTTGTTTGCGAAATGTAAAAAGCCTAACAAAAGCCAGACACCGTTTCTTTATGCCGGACACATAATCATAAAGCCTATGTCCGGCTTTATCCGGACGCCTGGTAATGCAACTTAGGATGAGTAAGAAACGCAATTCCGTTGAATTATGAATAAAGTAATAGGTTGAGTTAGGAATACTATTTTGGGATGAGTAAGGAATTAGGACGAGACGTCATAGGATGAAACAAACAACCCTCCGTATTTAATACGCAGTTGTACTATTCTACAGCAGCATATTACTGGTTAATTACCTTACCTTTTTCTTCTTTTTTCACACCGACCCTCACGCATGCATCACGAGCGTCACACGCGGCGAAACATATATATATACATACATACATATATATATATATATAAATATATATATAAATACATATATATATGATGTGTGATCCGTGCACACTTATTCTTTTTTATTTGGTTTAAAAACTCTGAATTATCAGCCTATCGATGAACCCTAGCTGGGGCACAGGCCTTTTCTGTGGATGGAATGTCAGCATGGGCCGTGACTCACCACGCGGACTTAGTGCAGGTTGGTGGACGCTAACAACCACAGATGCAGCCGGGACCAACGGATTAACGTGCCTACCGAATCACAAAGGAGCTCGTGATAGTAAATTGTTTGATCACGCAACCCAACAACAAACTTTTTCGTTATCGTGCCTATATTCACTATACGAATCTATGGTGGGCCAAGTTTTTACTCATGCCATACCATAGGATTTGCACCCCCCCCCCCCCCATGATTTGTAAATTTAATCACAATATAGCTCAGTAACCCATGCTACTCACCCTGTAGCTCAGCAGCCAGTAAATAGGTTGGTGCCTGGTTCGGCAGCGGGGTAATGGTTTGCTGGATTTCAACCATTCGAGGGCCGGAGATAGATGGCCCGCGGGCCGTACTTTGCCCATCCCTGACCCAACCGATAAATGGCCGTTGCGAAATCCCCCCGGATTGTACCTAATCTCCCACCCCGTGGAGGCTCACCATCAGAAACACAACACCACCAAATGGTAGTGTTATTTCACTGTGATCTTCTGTAAGGTTCCACTTTACTTCCCTAGACGGGCTCTCCATTTTGAGCGGTAAATCCGTCATGTACCTCTCACGAGTTGAGTTTCTTATGATGTTCTATAATGTTAATAACCCTCGTTATTTTTTTGTTGCAGGTGGAGGAGGTAAAAAGATTTCATTATCTATCTCTGTTATAAAACTTACGGACGTACTTGAAGACTTCAGTTTTATTATTTAATATTATGTTTTGTTAAATTTACTTTTACAAAGGTGGCAAACAAGCGTATGACCCGCCTGATGGTAAACGGCCGCCATACTTTGATTAAAACAATAAGGGAAGATACGGTACGCTCACACTAGCATCAAATAAACTATGATCCGACTCAACTACATAAGCAACTCTCACACACGCACACGTCTGTAAATAACATTCAATCGAGCGAGCGAGACAGAACTGTACGCTTCAACGCAGAGCGAGCGAAACGGCGAATCAGCTTCCGAGTGCGAACGGCTGAGCTGTATTGTTGTTCTTTTCTTGATAACAAAATGGCGATTACGTATATAACATTCACGACAAACCGTGATTTTTGAGAAAATAATTATTTTACTGTTTTACGAATGAAAAGACTTCAGTTTTATTATTTAATATTATGTTTTGTTAAAGTTGGTTATCTATACTCGTATGTTAAATAGGTGACAAACAAGCGTATGGCCCGCCTGATGGTAAGCGGCCGCCATAGCCTGTAGATGTAGACGCTTGCCATACAAAGATATCACTCACAACGTTACCTACCCTGGTCCAATCTCCTACCCCGTGTAACCCTGGAACCTTACACACCGACAGAGACACCTTTATAGAGAGATACCTTGCTCCATTTTTCCCACTATGATTTCCTGTGCTTTGGCATCACTCTTTCTCCATTCTACTTTTGTTTCTTCTAGCCCTGGCTCCAACTTCACTCCATTGAATATATCAAATAAACCTCTTCTTTTGTGCATAACCTCTGTTTGGAATCTCCACATAGTCCAATTTTCTCCAGTTAGTTTCAATCCAAAAATGCTCGTGTTTTCCATTTTTATTTTTGCTCTTGACGTCGCTTTTCTGTAAGTACAAGACTCCACAAATACAAATAAAAAAAATCTGTCTTCCAACAAAGAGACCTCGCACGCCGTATTTTTCAATCTTCTTCAAAATATCGTTTCACACCTGAAATCACGATGCTATGGGACAGGGCCCATAACCTGTGATCAGGGGAAGTCAATAAGAAATAGCTTGTGATTTATTTATTATCAGATTACGGCTACAAGAATGTATAAAAATCAAGACGCCATTAATCAAAGAGAACAAAGCAGGGTTGCCACTGCTCAAACAAAAGATAACCATTGCCAATATAACACACACATATATATATATATATATATATATATATATAAACGCGATGCAGTAAACGATATGTAGGATGACGTAGGCGCGCGCGGGATGTCACCACTCTATTTCAACGAAAAACGATATTTCGATCAAACTTCGCACTCGTAGTTCGATAGCCTCGCAATTTGCATCCCCCCCCCCTGAATTTGTAAATTAAATAAAAATATAGCTCGGTAACGAATGCCCCTCAACCTGAAGCTCAGCTTTATATTGTTAATAACACTCGTAATTCTTTTGTTACAGGTGGAGGTAAAAAGATTTCATTATCTATCTCTGTTATAAAACTTACGGACGTACTTGAAGACATCAAATTATTTTTTAATAATATGTTTTGTTAAAGTTGATTGTTTATACTCCTACGTAAAATAGGTGACAAACAAGCATATGGCCCGCTTGATGGTAACGCGGCCGCCATAGTACACGCTTGCGATACAAAAATATCACTCGCAGCCTACCCTGAGCACCCAATCCCCTACCCCGTGAAGCCCTGGAACCTTACACATCGACCAGTGTTGCCAGTGCCTGCACGGGAAACGTTGTCAATGTTGGCTTGAAATGTTGTCATTTAACCAAGTGTTGTCATTAAAAAAAAAACATCATCATCATCATCAGCCTATTAATGTCCCCACTGCTGGGGCACAGGCCTTCCCTATGGATGGAATAGGGAGATTGGGCCATAACCCACCACGCGGGCCCAGTGCGGATCGGCGGGTGCTGACGACTGCAGATGCAGCCGGGACCAACGGCTTAACGTGCCTTCCGAAGCACGAAGGAGCTCGAGATAGTAAATTTTTGGCCACCCATCCAAAGAGCGACCACTGCGAAGGTTGTTTAAATTCAACGATCGCAGCCGAACGCGCTAACGACTTGCGCCATCGAGCTCCTCTATTTTATAATAAAAAAAATACCGTGTAATTTTAAAATGTGTTAATAGTGCCGTTGTTTTTTAATAGTTCAACATTTGATATGACATAATTGAGTTAATATACCCTAAACAAAATAAAAAGATTAAATACCTACACTTGTTTTGTACAATAAAATCCAACAAAAAAATGTATATAAGCCCGAGCCCATGCATTTTTTTAAATCTCTGAAAATCCTGCATAATCACTAACAAGTAGGTACAGTAACGGACTGTACGTTTCTCTAGTCATGTGGTAAAAGTAGAGTAAAATCGCACCAAACTAAATTCCTTAAAAAGAATCTAAAAAAAATGTTTACCAAATTAACAGACTTTTTCATACCTATCACTATCACCAACCTAAGAAAACAAAATTGTGTTCAAGACAGGGTGCGTTTAGCCGATAAATAAATAGGCTAAGCAGCATAAAAAGAAAAATGGCCATTGCTAAGTAGCACTTGGAAAAAGAAATGTAGAATAACAAAATAAAAATAATTTAATTGTTTAAATAGTTATAATTGTTAATTATTCTTATAAAAATTCTAGCACTCATCGCTAACTTTAGTTGAATCAACTAAAGTATAGTTTCCGCCGATAATGCTAGTTAGCATAGTCTACTGTAAAGCATTCTCGAATGCTGCTTAGCCTTTTTGTCGGCTAAACGCACCCATAAAACAACGAAAATTTAACTAGAACAAAATCCACGCGGTTTAAACATCAGCCAGGATTCGAATCCACACTGAATCCGGGCGGACGCAATAACCAAGTAAATAAGTAAAAATTTTAGCTAGCTTTAAATGCTTAATCTTTGCACTATATTATTGTATTATGATGTTTTACTTATATTTTGCCTCGTTTCAATCAGGTTGTGGTGGACACAATGGAGGTGGTGGTCTGGGTGGTTTGCTAGGTAAGTTCCAATCAAAGAGAATTATTTTTCCTTTTTAGTAATATTTGCCGTAGGATTCGGGTTGCCAGGTCGACAAACCTATTAGCCGGACAGACTAGCTAGTTTGGCCAGACATTTGGGTTAAAAGGCTGGATACCCTACGTTATTAAGAATTTTGTGGCTCAGTAATATTAGGTTACGACAAAAAAAAATTGTAAGAGCGACCGACAGTCAACTCGCTTGCGCTCGTCCACGCACGGCGCTCGCTCGTTTGCGAAATGTAAAAAGCCTAACAAAAGCCGGACATCGTTTATTTTGTCCGGCTTTATCCGAACGCCTGGTAAAGCTACTTAGGATGAGTAAAAAACGCAATTGCGTTGAATTAAGAAAAAATATATGAAAAATGTAATAGGTTGAGTTAGGAATACTATTTTGGGATGAGTAAGGAATTGGGATGAGACGTCATAGGATGGAACAAACAGCCCTCCGTATTAATACGCAGTTGTACTATTCTACCTCTATTGGCATATTACCGGTTAATTATCTTACCGTCACACGACTATATATATACACCTAATATCCCACCCCGTGGCACCACCAAATGATAGTGTTATTTTACTGTGGTCTCCTATAAGTTTCCATCTTACTTCCCCAGACGGGCTCTCCAATTTGAGCGGTAAATCCGCCATGTACCTCTCTCGAATTGAGTTTGTTATCATGTTTTATAATGTAAATAACACACGTATATTTTTTGTTGCAGGTGGAGGTAAAAAGATTTCATTTTGTATCTCTGTTAAAATACTTACGGACGTTCAGTTTTTTATTTAATATTATGTTTTGTTAAAGTTTACTGTTATAAAGGTGGCAAACAATCGTATGGCCCGCCTGATGGTAAACGGCCGCCATACTATGATTAAAACAAAAAGAAAAGTTACGGTACGCTCATACTAGCATCAAATAAAATATGTTCCGACTTAACTACATAAGCAACTCTCACACACGCACACGTCTGTAAATAACGTTCAATCGAGCGAGCGAGACAGAACTGTACACTTCAACGCAGGGAGAGCGAAAAGGCGAATCAGCTTCCGAGTGCGAACTTCTGAGCTGTATTGTTGTCCTTTTCTTGATAACAAATAGCGATTACGTAACTAACATTCACGACAAACCGTGATTTTTGAGAAAATAATTATTTTACTGTTTTACGAATGTGAAGTGTTGTCGAGGCATTTGTTATTTGATTTTGAACTATTTGCGTTCTTTATAAAAACATCGAAGGCATTATTTTATCTTTATAACACAGAATATACGCAATATTGTTATATTGACATCAGGCTAGATTTTGAATAAAAAAATATACCTTTATTATAAGTGGTCGGTCATTGGATAGGTGACCAAAAATGACTATCTCGAGCTCCTCCGTGCTTCGGAAGGCACGTTAAGCCGTTGGTCCCGGCTGCATCTGCAGTCGTTAGCACCCACCAATCCGCACTGGGCCCGCGTGGTGAGTCATGGCCCAATCTCCCTATTCCATCCATAGGGAAGGCTTGTGCCCCAGCAGTGGGGACAATAATAGGCTGATGATGATGATATCATTAATAAATAGGGTACTTAAACAAAATAAATATTTATTAAGATTTTTTTTTCACAGTTGTTCATGCTGGTAAAAACATTGCTGGAGGTAATTATTAAATTAGTGTCTTCATATTATTTCAGTGTCCGAAATATAATGAAAGATTACAATTAAACAAAAGATATTTTTATACATATCTGTATATGCATTGGATAATTATCAGGATTATTATCAAGATAATAACGCATTGATAACTGAGGAGCTGGCGAACAAAACGGTATAATTATGCATCTGGTCAAACTACATTTTTTTACAATCCGGAGGTTTCGAGTGAATTTGAATCTCAAATAATTTTCAATCAAAACCGTGTTAAAATTACTAAATTTATAAATTCAAAACCATGCCAAAAGCTCACTGTAGGCATGTCATTCAGTTTTATACAGCTCCTGTAAAATTTAATTCAATGTAATATGGAAGATGCAATATTTTTATTTTTGTTTTCATTTTAAAGAATTCCATGTAGAATAAACCACAGATATATTAAAAAATTAAAACATTGTGATTTATCGGAAAAAATGCGGTTTTAAATTGACAATTTAAATTTTCGCGCGAAAACGAACCTATAGTTGCGATGACGTCACTCCTGTCTGTCATTGGTCGTAATTGTTCGTTGCTGGCTTTAAATTTTCATACTTTTGCATATTTTTTCGACTTTCAAAATATTTTTTTGAAAAATTTAAAATGGACTATCCATCAACATCATGTGATCATAACAATACCACTAATATTGTGAAAAAAAGTCGTATTGACTCATGTTTTGTGCCAATCTACTTCAACAAAGTTCCCAAATAAATTGTTTTTGACTGGAACTTCTGACCCAAAACTGAAAAAAAAGTTGTTTCAAGCTGCGAAGAGAATGACAATTATTCTTCAAAGACCATTATTCGATGCTGAGAAGATCACTTTGACGTAAGTCGGCGAATATACTTGTTATATGCTTAATTAATCTGCTTGTACGTAACCTACCTAATACTTACAAAACCTGTCTATAACATATTTTTAATTTTACAGTTGGAGAATGACGTCGAAAATTAGATAAAGTTTAAAATGTGTGGCACAATCTTCACATTGGCAGGACTAAACCAAGCTTTGCGTTTCGTTTAAAATAACTGTAACACGATAACCATCTTTACGTACTTTATGGTCCGGAGAACTCGACCTTTTACTGTACATAATTTTCCATCTCTTTTAATTTGGACATAGCCGATTGCATTATCGCCGTAAGATTTGTAGAAGCCGCTGAATAAAATAAGAAGTTTAAAATTTACGATTTTTACATACCGTAGTAATTTAGTCCCTTTCATTTCTACACTTAAAAACTCTGCACTTTGGACAAAAAAAGTTATAACCATGTCAACGCTAACTCTTGGTAAATTCTGGAGTCTGCTTTGAAAAACGCAACTTTCATTTTTATTAAATGTAAAAAAACGCAATAAATATTCCTATAAAATAATATTTACTTTAACAACCATAACCTCAAAGAAGTTGTCATAACAGGAGTGACGTCACTAAACGCTGATTGGTGTTTTAAAATACGTTCCGTTTCAAGTATTTTTAATTCGTAATAATTATTAAAAAACAACATTATGTAAAATAAAAACGTTGCAGTGGCATTTCTTTTATATTTTTTTAACATTTTAATGATAAAATTTTCATAAATATTATATATGCATCTTCCCTATTGTACGCCAGCTCCTCAATTATCATTGATAATAATATGTCCTCGAACCATAAATACCAAAAAAACATAAATGAATTTCCTACCTCAGCTGGTTTATTCTGTAATATTTTCACGCGCGGATCCGATGTGGATCCGCTTTTTAGCTTTTATTAAATACTTTTAGGCCCGGCCTCGCTTCGCTTCGGTGTAGAGCTGAAGTGTAGACTACAGTTTTTGTTCTCAGTCTTGCATTATACACAATGACATTCATCTATGATTCTTCTTATACCTGCATGCAAAGTCTCAGCCCGATCGGTTTAAAATTGACAAAGTTTCATACAAACTTTCATTCCCTATTTTATCCCCTTGGGGGTAGAACTGATCAAAATCCTTTCTTAGCGGATGCCTACGTCATAACATCTATCTGCATGCCAAATTTCAGCCCGATCCGTCCAGTGGTTTGGGCTGTGCGTTGATAGATCACTATGTCAGTCAGTCAGTCAGTCACCTTTGAGTTTTATATATATATATGTATTTAATTTCATGCCTTTTTCTTCAATTTGTTAAAGTGTACTCATCTATAGATATCGAATATAACGCTGACACATCTCAAAGCCATCCAATGTTTAGCATTGGATGGCTTTGAGGCATCGCGAGAATTTAATTTAAAATCGATAAGTACCAAAATATATCAAAATCATTTGAAAATAGTAAAGGCGTGTAAACATAACAGACAAACAGAGTTACTTTCGCATTTATAATATTATGTCTTGTATATATATATATATATATATATATTATATTTATTTATTTAATCATTGATACATAATTTTACCATATTTTAATACCTTGCCAACCTGTAAACTTCAGGTTGTTGGCAAGCCGACGCTCGTTTTCCTTACAGTATCATGTTAAAATAATACTACTGTTATAAACTTACAAATAATATAACTGTAAACTACTGTCAACATATTATGGCTAAGCTATTTTAAAGTGACTATCTGTTACAAATACACAATTTACGCATTAATCAAAAGAGTTTTATTATGCTTCCAATTTATATATATTTAATAAAATATTATTATTGATTTTTTTAAGCATTTAACTGCTAGATGTTTAAATCTAAAGAAAAGTTTACTAGAAAAAAAAATTGCTTAAAAAAATAAATAAAAATCATAACTATAATTGCTATTTCTTCTTTCAAATGTTTAATACTTGAAAAAGTATTCATTTGACATTGTGGGTTACCTACAATGCGAAGAGATGGCGCTGCCTTGCAGCTTAAGGCTAGGAAAATTTCGACGCGGCTAATAGGGCCGTGGTAGCATAATGGTCAGTGCATTCGCCCGGATAGCGAAGGATGCGGGTTCGAGTCCCGTCCGCTGCCTGGTCCGCGTGGATCTTTTTCTAGTAAATATTATTATTATTAGTACTCACAGATTGCATATATTTTTAGGCGCCCTTAACACAGTCGGACACGTCCTTGGTGGTGCAACCGGAACCGTGGATTGTGGTAAGTTGTAATAATCATCATCATTAGCCCATAGCCCATCAATGTCCCCACTGCTGGGGCACAGGCCTCTTCTATGGCTCTTGTAGACAGAATAGGCCGTGACCACAACGTGTCGAGGACAGCAAAGGAAACAGTAGTTAGGGGAAAGCATTATACAGGGTGTACAAAAACCTATGACAAAGCCTAAGTTTCGCCGCACACGGGCCACATGCCACAGCCACATACGCCGCCACGAGAAGCTAGAAGCGGCTACTAAAGTGGCTGAAGCGCGCGACAGCGGCCGAATAAGGTAAGGGAGAGAGGGGTGGGGAATCGCGCGAGTGACTTGTGGCGGCGTTTTGTATCGGCGCATAAGTGGCCGGTGCGGGCCACAAGAAGCGAGCAGCGACGATTTGTAGCGTGTCGCGGCCACCGGCGTATCGTGTGTGGCGAGTCCATATAAAATGTATGAAAACTACAAGAAATATGCCGGTGGTGGCGTTTTGTGGTTGTGCTCGGTGGCCCGTGTGCGGCGACACTAAAACTACGCATTCTGTACACCCAAACAAGTCATATTAGAAAATATTGTACTTGGGAATCATTTTTAATTTTAAGTTGAAAAAAAATTTTTTTGATGTGTAACATCTTTCCTCTCGCTTTCGTGCAATTTGTGGGAGTGATTACGTGAAGTGGGACGGAAGTGTGTAACAGGAAGTTTGGGAAGCGCGCGCTATTTGATTTGATTTTAGAACATAATGTTCAAATGGCTTTTTCCTTTTGTAGTAGGTTTTATTTCTTTTTTACTAATATAAGGTGAGGTTTCAAATGTTACACATCATAGGCGACTACTGTAAGGCTCGATCGCTCTTTTTCCCAGTACGCAATCTATAGCGCGCCGCGATACTGTGGCGCTATGCATATAATGTGTCTGTGTGTGCGTGTGTGTAAGTGCGTCGATAAAAAAGTTTCTAAATAACGTTTTGAAAATGTTAATGTATAAATCTTGAAAAAAAAATGTGACTGACCTTCAATATCTCCGTAACCATAAATTTCCCAGGTATGGTCCAGAACAAAAAAATTACCGTCATGATGTGGAATATACGTGGCCTTCGACTTCGTTAAAGGATTTTTTACACCCTGTATTATCAACACATAATTAAAGAATCAGGAGGAAATAACAGTATGTAAAAACAGATTTGAAAGAATAAGAAGACAAGAGTGACAGGAATAGATTTAGGAGGCGTGGCATAGATAGGGATTGCAATCCCGCCAAAACGGGATCACGCATTCCCGCGGGATTCCGCTGCTTTTATTAATCTGCTGGATCCCGCACCTTCAAAGCGCAGAGACAGATCGGTGGATTCCGCAAATTAAAAATTTGGCGCTAAAACTTTCACGTGAATCGCGAGTAGCCTGAGTTCGAAGTTGCTGTTGCGGGATCCCTTTTGTTAATCGAGTAAATGTAAATTGAGTAATCTAGCAATTCCACGGGATCGAATGAGCTGCGGGAATGCAATCACTAGGCATAGACAAGTATTATAAATATATATTTTTACAAGTGAAGAGCCTGTCTTCGACAACGTAGGTGCTTTTGGTGGGCGCTAACCACTGCAGAGGCATTCGCAACTAGTGTTGCCAAGTCCGATTTGTTTTAAATCGGTACATGAGGTCAAAAAAATCGGGATTAGGGTTACAGATCGGGACAGTAAACAAAAATGAAAAGGGGTTTTTAAGTCTGGGTTTAATTTATTGCGTTTTTAACTACTAGTGCAGGTATAGTATTATATTAATTACCTAAATTTATTTTTTTGATTAATCGGGACATCTAGCGTCTTGATCAGGTACAAATCGGGACGCATCCCCAGACCCCTGAAAATCGGGAGGTCCCGCGCAAATCGGGACACCTGGCAACACTAGTCGCAACGCACGTAGTGAGAGATAACAAAGATTCTGGTCACCCATGCTATGGCTGGTCATTGTGAAAGTTACTTAACTTGCACGATCGCTATTTTCGCGATTGTTCTATCCATTCACAAAATTTGGGGCTATTAAAATAAAGTGTCAGGCTGAATAATGCCTGACACTTCCAGCGAGTGGAATTATCTAGTATTTTTTTATTTTTTAAATCTCTGCTGGCAGAGATTTTTGCAAGAGATTATTGCTAGAATAAAATCAGATTTTTAATGCTAAATATAAAAATTATCTTTAACAAAAAGTGTTAAGTATTTTAAAATTAATGTTACATTTGCAGTTGCCAAAAAAGTTGGAAAAACCGTTGGAGGTAAGTCTTTACGTAATATTGATTATTATGTATGTATTTCAAGGTATTTTTTTAAATCGCCTGTATGTGTGTTCTTTAAAAAGATAGTATAGATAATGGTTTTAAATCAAATCAAAATCATTTATTCAGTTTAGACTGTGACAAGTACTCATGAATGTCAAGAAGTTACGCCTACAATTCGTATTTTTTGTGCAGCTGTGATCAGTCCCATTTGGCTTTTTTGTTTTGCCAGTAAATCGGCTTTAGAGCTAGTGATCCGTAATTCTACGACGGGAGACCTTGTACTGAGAAGAACCGGCAAGAAACTCAGCAAGGACTGTTTTTTTCTGCCTGTATTATTTTAAACAGAGTCGTCAAGTTGAAAAATGACTTTAGAGATGATTCGTGAAGTCGCCTTTCATTCATCATCTGCCTTTTAAGGTCCTCACTGCTGGGGCACAGGCCTTCTCTATGGATGGAATAGGGAAATTGGGCCATGACCCACCACGCGGGCCCACTGCGGATTGCGGGTGCTAACGACTGCAGATGCAGCCGGGACCAACGGCTTAACGTGCCTTCCGAAGCACGGAGGAACTCGAGATAAAATATTTTTGGTCACCCATCCAATGACCGACCACTGCGAAAGTTGCTTAACTTTAACGATCGCAGCCGAACGCGCTAACCACCTGCGCCATCGAGCTCCTCACATTCATTAAATAACGAAACATTCATGAAATATATATTAATTGTTCACCTGTATATTATGATTGCTGTGTCATACACTATATGTACAAATAGTGTAATTAATATAAGGCTAGATAACAAATTCAAAAATAGTATAGAGGAGGTTCAACCTCGCTGTTCCACACCCGTTACCGAGCATGACGCACGAACCAGCCATCGCTTCACTGAACGATATTTTTGGGGAACGTAAAATAAAAAACGTAAAAGAAATTTCAATGTGAAATAAACAGTGCCCTTGTACAAATTTCTTGTTCCTGCGCCTCTAGCATAACCACCGAAACGGGTTATGATAAAGCTTTTATCGAGTCTCAACTGTCAAACTCCTCTGTTGTCTGACAGTTAATGCCGATATATCGCTTTATCATGTACCGTTTCGGTGGTCATGCTAGAGGGTCTGTTCTTCTTATCTTATGACGACCTCCGTGGCCGAGTGGTTTGTACGCCGGGTTTCAAGGCGTCGCCGACTCGAGAGGTCCCGGGTTCGAATCCCGGTGGGGGCAGATGTTTGTGTGATGAACACGAGCATTTGTACTCCAGTCATGGATGTTTAATATGTATTTCTATATAAATATACTTATATATGTAAATTATATGTATTCTATCCGTTACCCTAGCATCCCATAACACAAGCCTTACAGTGCTTACTTTGGGGCTAGGCTAATTGGTGTGAGTGTTGGAAATATTTATTTATTATTTATATTATTTATTTATTATTCTTATCTGTTTTAATGTGTGTACTAAATTAGTAAATAAATAAATAAATATTATTTTCTTACAAAAAAAAACTATTATTTCACAGGAGTCGCCAACAAAGTTACCGGAGGTAATTTCAAATATATATTAATTAGTTATAATTTTATTTTTTTAAGCATGACGTAACTGCTTGATGATTAAATCTAAAGAAAATATAGCTAGAAAAAAAATGGATTGTTTTCTAGTTATATTTTCTGTATATTAGTTACCTTATTTAACCGAAATTATCAAAAAAAAATTGTATTTTATGTATTTATTAGGGTTCCGTACTCCAGTAGGCAAAGACGGGACCCTTATAAAATCACTCGGTTGTCTTCTGTCTGCCTGTCACATCAATGTACTTGGAATATACTGGACCGATCAAGTTAAAATTTAAAGGTAAGAAAGAAAGAAAAATGTTTTTATTGTTGACAGCACATAACATACACATACAATACAAAAATGCATATAACATAAAGTAAAACACAAAGTACAAAAAAAGAAATTTTTTTTTGTACGTAACGTATGCATGTCTGTGACCCAAACCGGAAAAATAGGAAAGGTAGCGGAAATTTAGTAAGTATATAAAAAACTTTATATGTTTAGTAATCAATATAATCAAAGATAACGTGTTTATTTTGTAAGGTGTATAATAGTAACATTCTGTAGTTACACATTTTGTTTTTATTCATGTATTTATGTATTTTTTGTAGCTCCCGGATGTGGCGGAAAGCTCGTCAATGCCGGTAAGAAGTCATAAAGATACAAAATGTTTTATAACATTATTAGTTTATTGTTGGAAATATTTATTTATTATTATTTCAAATCTAGCAGTTAAATTCTTAAAAATATAATAAACTACAATTAATGAACACAATCCACATCGATTCGGGCTTGATTCCCTTAGCCTAACATCAGATTTGACAACAATGTATCATTGCCGTTCTCTATCCATCTATGTAATTTTACGACCCCTCCAAAATTTCAGGCTGAGAGACGACTTTACTACGGTTGTACTACAACCCTACGAAAGTGCTACGAATATGCTACGATAACGCTACGGTCACATAAAGAGCCTTACTATCTCGAGCTCCTCCGTGCTTCGGAAGGCACGTTAAGCCGTTGGTCCTTTCTGCTTCTGCAGTCGTTAGCACTCACCAGCAGTCCTCCCGTGGTTGGTGGTTACGTCCTGTTCTGTCTACACCAGCCATAGGGAAAGCCTGTGCCTCACTCAGCAAGAGGGCCAACCGATGGCTTAACTCAATTTTTTTCATCACATTATGAAAATTTTGAAGTTATTGCATCAAAATTTGTTAGGTTGCATTACAATTTGACGACCGCCGTGACTCGAGTGGTATCTACGCTAGTGTTCAAGGTGTCGCTTACTCAGAGGTTCGAATCCCGATGGGGTAAATGTTTGTGTGATGAAAACGAGCATTTGTACCTAAGTCATGGATGTTTATATGTGTTTCTAAATAAAATAACTTTTTTAACACAAAATTAAATCCGACTTCATGAATAGTAAACCACTAAAAAGTAAGAAATAATGCATGTTCTTTACTTATATATATTTAAAGTCAAATTGAGGAGCTGGCGAACAAAACGGTATAATTACGCATCTGGTCAAACTATTTTTTTACAGTACGGATGTTCCGTTGAATTTGAATCTTAAATAATTGTGTGCATCAATCCAGTGCGCATTGGCGGGTGCCAACGACTGCAGATGCAGCCGGGGCCAACGGCTAAACGTGCCTTCCGAAGCACGGAGGAACTCGAAATAAAATATTTTTGGTCACCCATCCAATGACCGACCACTGCGAAAGTTGCTTAATTTTAACGATCGCAGCCTAACGCGCCTGCGCCATCGAGCTCCTCACATTCATTAAAGAACGAAACATTCATGAAATATGCATTTAATGTTCACCTGTATTATGAAACAAAGTCACCGGAGGTAATTTCAAATATATATTAATTAGTTATAATTTTATTTTTCTAAGCATGACGTAACTGCTTGATGATTAAATCTAAAGAAAATATAACTGGAAAAAAAATGTTTTTTTTTTCTAGTTATATTTTCTGTATATTAGTTACCTTATTTAACCGAAATTATCAAAAAAGAAAAAAAAAATTTTATGTATTTATTAGGGTTCCGTACTCCAGTAGGCAAAAACGGAACCCTTATAAAATCACTCGGTTGTCTTCTGTCTGCCTGTCACAGTCAATGTACTCGGAATATACTGGACCGATCAAGTTAAAATTTAAAGGTAAGAAAGAAAGAAAAATGTTTTTATTGTTGACAGCACATAACATACACATACAATACAAAAATGCATATAACATAAAGTAAAACACAAAGTACAAAAAAAGATTTTTTTTTGTACGTAACGTATGCATGTCTGTGACCCAAACCGGAAAAATAGGAAAGGTAGCGGAAATTTAGTAAGTATATAAAAAACTTTATACGTTTAGTAATCAATATAATCAAAGATAACGTGTTTATTTTGTAAGGTCTATAATAGTAACATTCTGTAGTTACACATTTTGTTTTTATTCATGTATTTATGTATTTTTTGTAGCTCCCGGATGTGGCGGAAAGCTCGTCAATGCCGGTAAGAAATGATTTATAATATTATTTATTTATTGTTGGAAATATTTATTTATTTATTTATTATTATTTCAAATCTAGCAGTTAAATTCTTTAAAATATAATAAACTACAATTAATGAACACAATCCATATCGATTCGGGCTTGATTCCCTTAGCCTAACATCAAATTTGACAACAATGTGTCATTGCCATTCTCTATCTATCTATGTAATTTTACGACCCCTCCAAAATTTCAGTCTGAGAGACGACTTTACTACGGTTGTACTACAACCCTACGAAACTGCTACGAACATGCTACGATAACGCTACGGTCACATAAAGAGCCTTACTATCTCGAGCTCCTCCGTGCTTCGGATGGCACGTTAAGCCGTTGGTCCCGTCTGCTTCTGCAGTCGTTAGCACTCACCAGCAGTCCTCCCGTGGTTGGTGGTTACGTCCTGTTCTGTCTACACCAGCCATAGGGAAGGCCTGTGCCTCAGCAGGATGGCCAACCGACGGCTTAATTCAATTTTTTTCATCACATTATGAAAATTTTGAAGTTATTGCATCAAAATTTGTTAGGTTGCATTACAATTTGACGACCGCCGTGACTCGAGTGGTATCTACGCTAGTTTTCAAGGTGTCGCTTACTCAGAGGTTCGAATCCTGATGGGGTAAATGTTTGTGTGATGAAAACGAGCATTTGTACCTAAGTCATGGATGTTTATATGTGTTTCTAAATAAAATAACTTTTTTAACACAAAATTAAAACCGACTTCATGAAGCGTAAACCACTAAAAAGTAAGAAATAATGCATGTTCTTTACTTATATATATATTTAAAGTCCAATTGAGGAGCTGGCGAACAAAACGGTATAATTACGCATCTGGTCAAACTATTTTTTTACAGTACCGATGTTCCGTTGAATTTGAATCTTAAATAATTGTGTGCATCAATCCAGTGCGCATTGGCGGGTGCCAACGACTGCAGATGCAGCCGGGGCCAACGGCTAAACGTGCCTTCCGAAGCACGGAGGAACTCGAAATAAAATATTTTTGGTCACCCATCCAATGACCGACCACTGCGAAAGTTGCTTAATTTTAACGATCGCAGCCGAACGCGCTAACCACCTGCGCCATCGAGCTCCTTACATTCATTAAATAACGAAACATACATGAAATATGCATTAATTGTTCACGTGTATTATGATTGGTGTGTCATACAGTATATGTACAAATAGTGTAATTAATATAAGGTATAACTAGATAACAAATTCAATAACAAAATAGTATAGAACTGGTTCAACTCCGCTGGTTCACACCCGTTAACGAGCATAACGCATGAACCAGCCATCGCTTCACTGAACGACATTTTTGAGAAACGTAAAATAAAAAACGTAAAAGAAATTTCAATGTGAAATAAGCAGTGCCCTTGTACAAATTTATTGTTCCTGTTCTTCTTATCTATAGGTACCCTTAGCACGAACCAATATCGAATTCGTAACGTTTGCGAGTCCGAAATGTCATTGTCAAATGTATACCTACTGATTTTTTGTTCTGGTTACGTACTTTGTGCCGCTGCTGTTCAAGTTTCCATACAAAATTTGACGGTTTAATGGTTCGTGCAAGGGGTACTGTTTTATTATTATGTGTACTAAATTAGTAAATAAATAAATAAATATTATTGTCTTACAAAAAATCAATTATTTCACAGGAGTCGCCAACAAAGTGCCCGGAGGTAATTTTAAATGTTTATTTAACCGAAATTATCAAAAAAAGAAAAAAATGTATTTTATGTATTTATTAGGGTTCTGTACTCCAGTAGGCAAAAACGGAATCCTTATAAAATCACTCGGTTGTCTTCTGTCTGCCTGTCACAGTCAACTTATTCGGAATCTACTGGACCGATCAAGTTGAAATTTAAAGGTAAGAAAGAAAGAAAGAAAAATGTTTTTATTGTTGACAGCACATGACATACACATACAATGCAAAAATACATTAAAGTAAAACACAAAGTACAAAAAAAGAAAAATAAATGTACTTAATGCATGCATGTCTGTGACCCAATTACGGGCGAATAAAGTAAATCATTAAATACCGAATATGGGGGTTACTTTTAGGCGTAATTAAGAAAATTAAAAATAAAATTAAGCTAACTGTACAGTATTATACATCAATTTAAATATAAAATATATACTTTGAAATTATTTAAAAAAATAGATGGAAATTTACCTGTTCCAAAACCTCATCACTGACTCTTCGGCGACAAAAAAATATATGGAATGTGGCTTTTTGCATGTAGATTACAGAAAATCCTATAAGAAGTTTTTAGGGTAGTGGCATGGCGCAATTCCACCTCGTACTTGGCCGTTTTTTTTGCTGTAATGTAGATAATTGGACATATTATACATATATGTCCAATTCTAGATTTCTATTCTATTCTAGATCTAATGTTGGTCATTTTGGTGTTTATTAGCGGAAATTTAGAAAATACATAAAGAAATCTTTGTATGTTTAGTAATCAATATAACCAAAGATAACGTGTTTATTTTATAAGGTGTATAATAGTAACATTCTGTAGTTACACATTTTGTTTTTATTCATGTATTTATGTATTTTTTGTAGCTGCCGGATGTGGCGGAAATCTCGTCAATGCCGGTAAGAAATGATTTATAATATTATTTATTTATTGTTGGAAATATTTATTTACTTATTTATTATTATTTCAAATCTAGCAGTTAAATTCTAAAAATATAATAAACTACAATTAATGCACACAATCCACATCGATTCGAGCTTGATTCCCTTAGCCTAACATCAAATTTGACAAAAATGTATCATTGCCATTCTCTATCCATCTATGTAATTTTACGACCCCTCCAAAATTTCAGTCTGAGAGAGGACTTTACTACGGTTGTACTACAACCCTACGAAATTGCTACGAACATGCTACGATAACGCTACGGTCACATAAAGAGCCTTACTATCTCGAGCTCCTCCGTGCTTCGGAAGGCACGTTAAGCTGTTGGTCCCGTCTGCTTCTACAGTCGTTAGCACTCACCAGCAGTCCTCCCGTGATTGGTGGTTACGTCCTGTTCTGTCTACACCAGCCATAGGGAAGGCCTGTGCCTCAGCAGGATGGCCAACCGACGGCTTAACTCAATTTTTTTCTTAGGTTTTCACGCACATCACTCATTAAATAAAACTAGTTTTTACGGGTTAATGCACGAATACTTTATTTATTTATTGACGTTTGTTGACTTTTATTTAATTTGTCGAGCTACCTTCGAAAGACTTTTATTGAGCGTTTGGTTATTTCATTGTTCGATTTTTAAGTTTTATTGTCTATGTATGAATTTATTATTTAATTTACTTAATAAAGTATTTTATTTAAAATTCTTGTTTGTAATTTTGAGTTTATTTATTTGACCCTAACTACCGTAAACTACCACTGGTTCCAAAATTGGGAGACCTTCCTGAGAAGAACCGGCGAAACAAACTCAAGAGAGGCTTTCTATCTCCTTCTTATGTTAAATTATGCAAACAAAAAGAACTAATAGTATCTGATGGTCTTGCAGTGTGTGCTGGGGGTTGGGATTTTATCTCCTGTTTAATAGGTTCCCAAGCTAGTGGTATATACCAACCATCTTCCCTATTGAAATTTGGATATTTTTTAATCTCAATAGCCTCGCCCATCATTCGAGGAACGAACCGCCGTTCAGCTGCAGCAATTTTGGAACCGGTGGTAGTTTACGGTAGTTAGGGTCAAATAAATAAACTCAAAATTACAAACAAGAATTTTAAATAAAATACTTTATTAAGTAAATTAAATAATAAATTCATACTATTATATAGACAATAAAACTTAAAAATCGAACAATGAAATAACCAAACGCTCAATAAAAGTCTTTCGAAGGTAGCTCGACAAATTAAATAAAAGTTTTATTCTGACGACGTAGCCTGTAAAGGCTACGAAACGTCAATAAATAAATAAAGTATTCGTGCATTAACCCGTAAAAACTAGTTTTAATCAATTGTTTTCATCACAATATGAAAATTTTGAAGTTATTGCATCAAAATTTGGGTTAGGTTGCATTACAGTTTGACGACCGCTGTGGCTCGAGTGGTATCTACGCTATTTTTCGAGGTATCGCTTACTCAGAGGTTCGAATCCCGATGGGGAAATGTTTATGTGACAATTACGAGCATGTGTACCTAAGTCATGGATGTTTATATGTGTATCTAAATAAAATAACTTTTTAACACAAAATTAATAATTTAAATTTTTAATTTTTCAACACACAATAACAACACCACTTAAAAGTAAGAAATAATGCATGTTCTTTACTTATGTCTACATTTAAAGTGAAATTAACATTTGGAGTCAGTACCATGCCAACCGAAGCAGCAAATGGCAACTCAGATCTATTAATATTCATGGCACCGACTCCAAATGATATTTGACTTTTAATTATATAAGTAAAGAACATTCATTGTTTCTTACTTTCAGTGGTTTTGTTTTTATGAAGTCGGCTTTTTATAAGCCAGAGCAAAATCAACTTACTAAATATAGAAGACGTATCTGCGATCTCATTTTCATATTTCGTAAAATAACCAAATACGATATGTTAAATAGAGCGAAGTACGATATGTTAATACTATACGTATATGAGGCGTTCCGTTGTTTATCTCTGAAACCATTTATCAGATCTTCACCAAATTGGATTTAGGACTATCTCGCTAGCAAACTGTTTCAAACGAAAAAATAATCATCAAAATCGATCAACAAACCTCGGAGATATGCGCGAACAACGATAAAAAAATATAAACTGACGAATTGAGAATCTCCTTCTTGTGTCAGTATATGTCAGAAATATTTATTTATTTCCAATTCATTACATTAGAATAAGTCATCACAAAATAATCTAAGTATAAAATGAATTTTAATTTTATTCTCAGGACCCGGAGCTGCTGCTAATGGTATGCTTTTCCCCTTTATTCCACTCAAAGACGACAATTTATTTTAATGTCACCAATGATGTAAGGTTATAACCTTACACACCAAAATTAATGACACGTTTTTCTTGTATCTAATAGTTTCCGTGTATTTTGTGTACTGTCTAAAAATACACATAGAGCTTTGTGTCTGGAAAAAGGTAAAATATTTACACGTTGTAGCGAAGTGTAGCCGCGGCGAGAGAGCGTGCCGGACTGAATGCAAGTCGGGCAATTACCTGACTTTGGTATTGCTAAACTAGAAGCGTTTATGTCGTATCTATGGGTGTATTCCGAAATATACATCAGTATACTGATCAGTGGTAATGACGTCACGAATCCGACGCCATATTGTACTGGTATGCTACCATATTTTTACTTGGAAAACTTTATTTCTTTTTTATTTATAGAACAATAACGGTATCCGAAGAAAATAATTCCTTTTAATTGATGAGGTAAATACAAAATCTTCTTTATTCGCACTATTTTAATATTTCGTCGATTTATGACGTCAGTGCACTGGCCAGTATATTTCCGAACAATTCACCAGTATAGCGTCTATTCATGACGTCATTAGCACTGGCCAGTATACTGGTATATATTACGGAATACACACTAAATTTTTAGAACATCAAAGACTGTTACCGAGAGCAAATTAATAAATTTGTTGTTGACGCTCCCTTGCACGAAAGTTTTTAAATGAAATTTAAAAAGTGATTATCTTTTCCCCATTATAGCTCTATTTAACTCTAAACTATTGACTAACATGAAATGATTTAAACACGATTAGGCCTTAATTGGAATTAAGAATTTTGGTGCAATTGTTCCTTAAAGTCACTGTCTTACTGTAACGATATAGCTAAGGAATTGACCGCAAAACATCTCATCAAACTTAAAAAAATAATTTTATTCTTTGTTAGCCTGCTGAACTAAAGTTCTGTTTCAAATGAATTTCAAAGTGTTTGGTTTTTAAACATAGTAAAATATCCTTTTTCTATGCACATTTATTTTATGTAATGTTGTGTTATTTCTATATTTATTATGAGTGGAATAATTTCTAGTAATTTTTTTCTTAAAATATGGAAGTCTAGCAGTTAAATACAGCAAAAAAAGGATTCAATATTTTTTAGAATTAAACTTTAGTAAAACTGTCCTCCTTTTAAGTTTCCAAATTGGCGGTTAAATCAAATAGCCCTTCATGCCTCGAATTATTATAATGACTATATGATTTACCATTTATGCACAACTTCAAAGGCCTCAATCTCTTAATAATGTTCAATACATTAGATCAAATTATTATTAATTACTACGACATCAGAAATATGTTTTTGTTGTAACATAATGTATTATAATTTTGATGTTCCAACTCAATTATTATAAAAAAAAAATCTAAACTCCGTGACTTTTCCCAAAAAATAATACATGTTTACCTCGTATTTTGATATTGAATTAAATAGAATTATTATCAAAAACTTTCATAAAACTAATCTACCATCATTGAACTACTGAAATATGTATATATTTTTATAATTAGTTCATTAATAATTATTTAATAAGACTCGAAACATCACCCGTAGAATGCAATATATACTAGTGCAAATCTACCTACGCGCCGATCAGTACGGCAGCGGCGCAATTTTGTAAAAGGGCTCTTAAGACATCATGTCAGCCGTATGCTGTATTGCATTTAAGTCTGTATATATATATAAACGTATATAAACATTTCTTACTGATTGCAGTTGGCGGGGCTGGTGGTGCCGTAGGTACGTTGAAAATATATAATTTATATCTATCTATAAATCACTCTCAGAGCAATGGATATCACCCATAAAAGTAAACAATATTATAGGATTGTATCCATAAACTTAATATCATCATCATCGGCTTATTAATGTCCCCACTGCTGGGGCACAGGCTTTCCCTATGGATGGAATAGGGAGATTGGGCCATGACCCACCACGCGGGCCCAGTGCGTAATGACCGACCACTGCGAAAGTTGCTTAACTTCAACGATCGCAGCCGAACGCGCTATCGAGCTCCTCTTAAACTTATTATATAACATAGTTTTTTGATATTTTTTTGTATTTATTTTTCGATCTGATATACAATTCTGTACGAAACAAAACAGTCAGGAAAAGGCTTTTGCCCTTACTGTTTTTTTCAACTCAAGGTTTTTTAAATTTCATAAAAAACCGAATAAACGCTAAAGACGTATTTTTTTTACTTCCGGAACCTATTTTTTTTTTCTTAAGCGTTTAACTGCTTGATGTTTAAATCTAAAGAAAATATAACAAAAAAAAATCCACGCAGACTAGGCAGCAGATTTTTGCTAGTTATATTTTCTTTAGATTTAAACATCAAGCAGTTAATAATGTTTTTTAATGAACAAATGTTTAATACTTGTAAAAGTATTCATTTGACATTGTGGGTTACCTACAATGCGAAGAAATGGCGCTGCCTTTCAGCTTAAGAATGGCTAGAAGAATTTCGTCGCGGCCGTCAGGGCCGCGGTAGCATAATAGGGTATTTGACAAGTTTTAGAAAACGATCTCACGTTATTGACTAATGTTTATGGATTCCGTAAAAAGTGGATATTCATCATTCTGTTGTATATTTCTATAAAAATAACCAAATCAAAAACCCCATTTTCAAGTTGCCGCGAAAACGTTTTTCTGGACAATATGGCGTCTTACTAATATGTGACGTCACACGACTGTTATTAAGACGTCAAACGATACAATGTAATGTCACTTTAACTTTTAATGAAGTTTACTTGCTCGTGACGTCATTTTAGGCTCCGCCAATCCCAAGCGTCTTGGATCACGTGACAATAGATAAGAAAACTATTATCTTTTTCATGGATTTTTAGTAAAATTATGAATATTTTCTTTTTTATTTCTCTCCAACGTAAGATTAGATGAGATTTGACTCGACCCCCTCCTTCTTCACTCTTAAACATCTCACGTAATTTATGAACGCCCCCTAAGCAACGACGCAAGTGATATTTTTTGAATCGCAAGCATCTAGGCTATGATGGTCGCTCACCATATTGCAGGCAATACGCGTGCGGTAAAATGTTTTGCCCAGATTTACCGCACGCTCTGTTGTATGGCGCGTAATTTTGAACTTTCCAACAATGTGTACAACCTCGGTAAATGCATTTTTTGAGCAAGTGTGGAAAAAAAAACTTTTTTATCATTCAGGATGCGGAGCCACTGACGTCGCCGCTGATACTGGAAGCAATGCTGACGGAGCTGCTACACAAGGTGAGCGTCATCATGATCATCAGCTGTTATCGGCAGCAGTTGCCTAGCTTACGTTTCTCCCTTACTTAGTTTACGTCTCTCGGTAACCTAGCTACGTTTCTCTGTAGCCTAGCTAATGTCTCTCTGTAGCCTAGCTTACGTCACTGTGTAGCCTAGCTTACGTCTCTCTGTAGCCCAGCTTACGTCTCTCTATAGCCCAGCTAACGTGTCCCCGTAGCTTAGTTTACGTCTCTTTGTAGCCTAGCTTACGCGTCTCCGTAGCCTAGCTTACGTGTCTCCGAAGCTTAGTTTATGTCTCTCTGTAGCCTAGCTTACGTTTCTCCGTTACTTAGTTTACGTCTCTCGGTAGCCTAGCTTACGTCTCTTCGTAGCTTAGTTTACGTCTCTCTGTAGCCTAACTTACGTGTCTCCGTAGCTTAGTTTACGTCTCTCTGTAGCCTAGCTTACGTGTCTCCGTAGCCTAGCTTACGTTTCTCCGCAGCTTAGTTTACGTCTTTCTGTAGCCTAGCTTACGTCTCTCTGTAGCCTAGCTTAAGTCTCTTTGTGTAAATAATAAAAACTACTGTAGGAAGTCTAATGAGGAACATCTTCCACCGAGCTGGTTGATGTTAGCTCGGGACCGCGGACTGATCGGTCGGGCTTTGCATATATCAAGTGTTTGCCTCCGAATTTCCCTTGCGGGATGTGGTCATCCATAGTATTTTTGTCTTTTTTTTTTTTGCCTAGACGAGGTCTCCACTCCAGAACTTGTCTATCCCAACGGTTATCGGTTGATCGACAAATATGACCGGCCCTCTGCCACTTCAACTTTCCTGTATACCTATTTAACAATAATAGCAGTGCAATAATCTTCTTGCGACATAGATCACAATACCAGAACTAAAACACGTCCAATACAGTAGTAGTAGTACAATGTAGTAGCGAGCACAGAATGCCTTATAATAATATGAATAACGTTAGGCGTAACTACTTTAAAGCCGACTACGAATCAATATGTAATTATTTAAGCAATTTTGAATGGGATGAACGTTTTAGGGCACTGAGTTGCGTGAATAGCAAGGTTGACATTTATATGAGGCACTAGACGTAGTCACCAGAAGATTCGTACCACTTTGTAAAATTAATAAACATAAATACCCTGTATGGTTTAGCACTAAATTAATTAAAATGTTAAACGAGAAGAATAAGGTCAGACGACGTTATAATAAATACATAAATCCAATGGATGCTATTGAATTAAAACTTATCGCCAGACGTTGTAAAAAACAAGCATGAATGTCATAAAAATTATACAAAACGTTTGGAGGATGGAATAAAAGAGAACCCTAAGCTTTTTTGGACTCATGTGAAATGTAAAAGGGGGGGTAAGAGTGTATTCCCTAGTTCTATGACGGATGGGACTATTGTGACCTCTGAAGGGTCTGCGGCTTGTGAAACGATTTAGCTACGAACATTTCACAAGCCGCAGACCCTTCAGAGGTCACAATAGTCCCATCAGTTTACTCTTCTCATCAGTTTACGCCCCTGATGTGGAGTGTGAACACATTGCTGATTCCGATTATCTACGCGAAATTGATACTAACAGTCATGCCTTAACGGTTCCATTTGTGGACAGCGAGTACTTACTTAAGAGGTTACTTAGATTGTAATAAGGGTGCAGGGGCGGATGGAATTCCACCTATTCTTATTTCTAAATGTGCAACAGAATTGGTATATCCACTGCATATCATTTACAATGATTCATTAAAATCGGGGGTTTTTCCCTTGAAATGGAAAGTGAATAAGGTCGTGCCTGTTCATAAAACTGGAAGTGATGATCACGTACGTAATTACAGGCCCATATCGATTCTATCATGCTTTGCAAAAATTTTTGAATCTATCTTTTGCCCCCACTTTCAGAATCATCTTAAATTGTATTTAACTGATATTCAGCATGGATTTGTTCATGCCAGATCCACTAGCACAAATTTGGTACGCTTTGCCGAGACATTAGTGAACGCTGTCGGTTCTGGTTTTCAAACCGATGCCATATCCACGGACTTCAGTAAGGCATTCGACATCGTATCGCACAAAATACTTTTGCTTAAATTGCGTAGGTACGGTGTATCGGGTAGCCTGTATGAGTGGATATCCTCTTACTGACATGAGAGATCTTTCTTTGTGGTTATCAATGGTATCGGTCCACAACACGTGCTATCCTTTCTGGGGTCCAGCAGGGTTCCTACATAGGTCCGGTATTATTTAATTTTTTTATGAATGACATTCCTTATTCATTCCGCTTTTCTCGAGTTTACATGTTTGCTGACGATTTGAAGTTCCTAAGGATAATTAAGACTTTAGAGGATACTCGTCTTTTACAAAGTGACTTAAGTAGCCTCGAAAAATGGTGTGACAATAATCGAATGATTTTAAATACAAATAAATGTTATCACGTTAAGAAACCACAACATCATAAATGCTCATTACTCTATTAAAAACAGCAGAGTAGAAGAAGTCCATACAATTAAAGATCTTGGAGTTATTTATGATAAGAAATTAACTTTTGTTTCGCACATGGATAGTATAGCTAAAAAGGCTTCTAAAATGTTAGGATTTGTTCTTAGGAATTGTAAGTCGTTTAGTAGCATAGACACCAAAATATTACTATATAACAGCCTAGTCCGTAGCATCTTGGAATATTGCAGTGTTGTGTGGAGACCACACTATGCTACGCATACATTACGCCTTGAACGAATTCAAAAAAGATTTCTGTGGCATTTAATTTATTCTGTAGGCAAAGCCAAAAAAATCAAGTCATATATGGATAGACTGCGCTTTTTCAAAATTACCTCTCTGGCAAAACGGAAGTCTCTCATGGATGCTAAATTTTTAAGTAATATCTTGAGTAACAAGATTCAATGTCCACAGCTGTTAAATCTTGTCAATTTGCGTGTTCCTTCTAGAATGCCCCGGAAGCCAATCACGCCACTCTGCCCTCCTTTAAGAAGAACTGTTTTAGGCGCTAACTCGCCTTGTGCGAGATTCTGTAAAATTTTGAACGGTTTTAGTCATAAAATTGATTTACACTTTGATAGTCCCAGTGCAATAACTTCAGCCATTAGTAGGAACTTGAAGGACTGAGTGCCCGAGAAGTTTATTTTTAATTTTAGATCCTTTGTTTTTGTAATGACCCTTTTTTGGATAAAATAACATACAAGTTAAGGTATATTAGGTAAAATTTTAACACACAAACTGTTTGATATAGATATGGTAAAAGTGGTGTTTACCTATAATTAATTGTAACACTGATATAAGTGTCTCCATGTCTATAATTGTAATTGCTTAAGTGTTACAATTGTTGGTAAGCCTTTTAATAAATAAATAAATAAATACGGCTGACCACCGTTGATCGTATGGTCACCTTAACGAAAGCTTAGCCGCACTAAATCGCGTCGCAGCAATTCGCATCGCAAGTTCCTGCGTTTCGAATGGCAGTTTTGTGTGAATGAATCGAGATTTTTTCTAGGACAAAGAAAACAACTTTTTATAATAATTTTGATATTATTCTTAACGTATTTGATTATTTTTTTAGCTGCCGACGCTGGAAACGGTGGCATAGATGCCGGTAAGTTGCAACTTCTATAATAATAGAGGGGGTTTCTCCATTAATGACTCTGTTAACTTCGCAATGCAAAAATGCATACATCTGTTTCCATCAACAAAGAGTCGAGCCAAAATTACAAATAGGGCAAGAAGAGGAAAAATTGCCTAATGAGTTTGAAACTCGTTTCCGGATGAAAAGCGTAATACTATTTTATATATATATATATATATATATATATAGCGTAATTAAATAAAATGAATTGAGGTAAGATGAAATTGGCACTTAAATGAATGAAATGAAATTCTATTTTGTCCGTCCGTTAGAGTCTGTGCGGAAAGAGAATGGGCGTGGCGAAAAACGGAACTAACCTTAAGTTTTTTATATGGCAATCCAACCCAGCCATCTGTCAAACGACAAAGTTTTGTATTGATACGGATTTGTTTGTTGTGATTTTTTGCGGTTTTTTGTATTTAATCGTGTCTAAAAGGGGTAAAACCTTACAAATACGGTAGAAAAGAACAACTGCGTCCTCAAATCTAAATCCTATTATCTTTCCGCACAGACTATAGTTACATTATCAAGGGGTGATGGACACATATTTTTGCTGTTGTCAATCAACCACAAAATTACGGAAATAAAGAGCATCAAAGTTTGAGTATGGGGTCTTGTCCAATACTTTTTAATAATCTAGCTGATGATGATGAAGGTGGAGAAAAAAAGGTTATTCACCATCCCATCAAGCCATAAATGACTTCACTATAAAACATTTCTGCACTTTGAGATGATTAATTACCGATTTTATCTATTTTTAAACCAAGTTTTTAAACACATTTTCTTTTATTTTATTCAATTATACCATTTTGTTCGCTAGCTCCTCAACCACTGTATCAAAAACGTGGCTCTGCAGTCGGATTATACATTTTTTTTATGTCTGATATTTTCGTAATTGTTTAATTTTTTTTCAGCTGTCGGCGCTGGTGTCAGTGGTAAGCAATAATCAAAACCATATAAATACATATTATGTCATTTTTGTAAGCATTTGATTGCTAGTTGTTTAAATCTTTGTGGGTTACCAACATGCAAAGAGATGGCGCTGCCTTGCAGTCTAAGAAATACTCGAATAAATTCGCCACGGCCATTATGGTCATCATCATCAGCCTATTAATGTCCCCACTGCTGCGGCACAGGTCTTCCCTAAGGATGGAATAGGGAGATTACCCACAACGCGGGCCTAGTGCGGATTGTTGGGTGCTAACGACTACAGATGCAGCCGGGACCAACGGCTTCAGTGCCTTCCGAAGCACGGAGGAGCTCGAGATAGTAAATTTTTGCCCACCCATCCAATGACCAACCACTGCGAAAGTTGCTTAACTTCAACGATCGCAACGCGCTTAACACCTGCGCCATCGAGCTCCTCAATTATGGTCGCGGCAGCATAATTGGTTTGGTCAGTACATGCGCCCGGTAGGGGAGGGTGCGGGTTCGAGTCCCGTTTGCTGTCAGGACTGCGTGGATTTTTTTCTAGTAAAAAAATCTTTAGATTTAAACAATTTAAGTAATTTTATTAAGTGAGTATCAATATGTAAATGGTTTATTATTATTTTCATTTGTGTAATAAAGGCTTACCAACTAAACACATACCTACATTTCACTCACAGGGCAAAAATAAAATCATTACTTAAATTCAAAATTCAATATCGTTTATTTAGTCTAGGCAGTTACAAGCACTTGTGAATGTCGAAAAGATACGCCATCGGTTCGCAAATCTACAGCGGGGGACCTTGTAATGAGAAGATCCGGCAAGAAACTCAGCAAGGGCTGTGCTAATGTAATTTTACCGTAAAGGGTCGTTTTAAATGAATTCTTCCTAAACGACTGGACGGGTTTGGGTGAAATTTTGTTTAAGTATATATTATTATAGAGGAAAGGATGCAAATTTGGAATACTGCAATATTCAAATATACTAAAGCGCCATGTATTGACTTATACCAGCTTTACGTAGTCTATATGTTAGGAAACAAAATTGAGGTAGCTAAGAAGCAGCCATATTGACAGTTCCGTGACAACTTCATCGGAGTGAAAGTGCTGACGAGAAAATTTTCCAAGTAATAAATCGGCTTGCATCTTGAGTGTGACTTGTATTATGTGTTTATATTTGTACAAATCTTAAGTCTAGTATGTGAGTTGTTGAATAAATAGGTATTTCAGGTTAACCATTAGGTGATAATAATTTGGAAATACCCTATTCCAAATTATATTCACTTAAGTTAAACTATACCAATCTGTGATTTTCGTAATTAAACCACAATTGATCCTACTTGTGATAATCCAAGGTTGTTAATTACTTTAAGGCCCGAGTTCACCAACATTTTAAACAAGCGTTTATCTCCTAAACAACCGTTTAAGAATTTTTTTGTGTTCACCACGTGTTCACCGGTGGTTGTATCCCTTAAACGGCTGATCAACGTAACCGAGCTCGAAAACATCGTTTAACCGTCGTTCAGACATTATTGACGTTTGCTGTGTATCGGTTGCTACAACAATTTTAGGTTATATCGACTTTAAATTTTTTTGTGTTATGCTAATTTAAAATGCAGTCAGTGTTTAATGTTATGATTGATAACTATCAAGAGTACTACCTAAATCTTCTTGATAATTTAGATGATATAGAGAGAAGAACAAAAATGCCTCGAGTATTTCAAATGCGTCGTAATTATTATGAGGAGTATGATGAAGAATCTTTTAAAACTAGATTTCGTTTATCAAAATCTTCCGCACTGGACGTTCTCCAATTAATAGAACATCAACTAGAATTTCCCAACGATAAGTAAGTCTAAAACTGATAACTATCTTAAAAATAGGATACCTTGAATAACCTTACTTTTTATGTAATAAGGATAGCCATTACCTTTTTACAAACTTTTAAGTTATTATTTTATATTGCATTTCTATAAGCATATCTTTTTTTTATTTCAGGAACAACTCCTTATCTCCAATAAATCAATTACTTTTAACTTTGCGTTTTTACGCAACAGGATGCCACCAATTGACCATAGGCGATTTTTGCGGAGTGAGTCGAACAACAGCAAATCGTGTCATCCACCGAGTAACTGCAGCGATAGCCACCTTGGGGCACAATAATATAAAATTTCCTCAAACAGAGGCAGATATCCGAAAAACAAATAGATTTTTACAATATAGCAAAATTCCCTAAGGTCATGGGTGCATTAGACTGTACCCATATAAAAATTATTTCACCAGGAGGATGCTATGCTGAAACTTTCAGAAATCGGAAAGGGTACATGTCAATTAATGTCCAAGCTATTTGCAATGCCCAGTTATTATTTACTGACCTAGTGGTGCGGTGGCCCGGAAGTTCCCACGATGAAAGGATTTTCAGTGCATCTAGAAGACATGCAATGTTTGAATTCGGGATATATGGTGATGCAGTACTTGTTGCAGACAGTGGTTATATGAATAGGGAGTACATGATGATGCCGTTAGACAGAGTTTTATCAACAGCAGAATCCTTGTATAATGAATCCCAAATTAGGACACGGAACCCCGTTGAAAGATTATTCGGGATATGGAAAAGGCGGTTTCCAGTGTTGGCACTAGGAATAAGAGTTAGCTTAAAAAATGCTATTCCTATAATAGTGGCTACGGGTGTATTAAATAATATACTACAAATTAAAGGAGACGAAATGCCATCTGATGACTCTATTATAGATTTGCCAGCACCATGGGAGGAAATATTAGAAAGGGGGAGAATAAGACAGCAGCGAACTTTATATAGTAATAGTAACCCATCAAGAGATTTGGACCCTACCAGAAGAGCATTAATATCAAATTATTTTGAAAGTCTAGTATAGGTTTAAAATAAAAATATATTTTAATGTCTACTGGCACATTTTATTTATATAAAAGATGATATAAAAATTATAAATTAATGTCAATAAAGTTTTATTAAACATACATAACTTCAGTCATATTCATTCTTCTTCGTAAAGGAATTCAAGGATTTTATTGCATTAGAAAAGTATACCTAACTAGAAAACTTAAATAATTTAAACACATATATAACCAATTCATAATTATTAACCGACTCTAACAGATTTGATGCAACGAATGTTAAACAAGAGCATGAAGATTCCCGAAAGTAAACCAATTTAAGGCTCAAATTTAAATAATCTCCAAAAAATAATATAAAGGTAATGAATAAATAGGGAACCTAACCTAACCTTTGGGTTACCAGTTGTATTTTTGGTGATCAATTACAATTTGTTTGGGGATCATTTAAACATTTTCCTTATTTATTAATTATTAAATAACACTACTTTTTAATGTATTGCCTTAAAACTACAAATAAAAATTATTAATTATTTTCAAGTTTTTCAGTCTTTAATTGCTCTTGTTTTAATTGTTGTTCTAAAATATTACTTCTAATTCGAGATTCTTTTTCTGCATTTTCTTGCAATATTTTAACAAGATTAATTTTTTCTCTTGTGAGAGTATCACCCAAAGAATCTACTTTAGGTCTCCTTCTTTTCAGCCAATCCTCTTCGTTACACTTGGAAGACCTTAATTCTTTTGATACTGGCGTTTTTAAATTCTTTGGAGTCCATGTACTCCAGGTATCATTTTCCTGTAAAAAGCAATAATTACTTTAATAAAAATGAAAAGTACACACTGCATTATCACATTAGTCAAAATACTATTTAAACTCACATTATTTTCATTTAATATGCCTTTTGATGTACTGGCTTGGCACAATGATTTCTCAACATCACCATCATCTTTATTATTAGGTTGTCTGACCTCGTCCATGGACAAAAATGAAAATTCAATATTTTCCTGGAATAAATTGTATACTGAATATTATTAAGACTCCATTAAATAGTGCTTGACTATTCTAAAATACTGTAAATAAAATTGTCATATCAATGTGACATATAAAATTTGACAATTTATTGTACTTGATCGAAGGTTATTCAAACAATGCCATTAACGTTCAATAGGTGATGTGCTAGTCGGAATAGAAAATAAAATCGTTTCCTAAAACGGTAATAATTTAAGTAAACCCACCTTATTTTTTTCACTTTCTGCATTGTCTTCTAATATAAAAGTATTGTCCACTGGATGGTGCAGTTCAACAAAATCCTGTAAATGTATAAAATCATTTTAAATCAATAGATTATAACATGAAACCTATCACACAGATTTAGATTATTTGTTAGATGCTTATTAGTAATATCAAATTAAACCTCAATCTAATATTGTATCAAATTTAAGAACTTACTTTAATTACACTGCCACAGGCGTCGCTGTCATAAATATTCGAAACTCCTTCTAGGGCTGGTCCCAGTATAGCATCTACAACAGCGCTCGACCCTTGATTTGATGGTGCTGGTGATGGTGGTTTTCCACCACCTGAAATATAAAAAGCACACATTTCAGAAACAGAACAGGCACGAAACATAATATGTGAATAAAAAGTACAAATCGATTTCTCTTCCTCAAATAATAAATCACCACGTGAGTTCCAAAAGTACATACCAGTCATAAATAAACTCTTTTTTCTGGCTGCCCGATCTTTCTTGGTCTGCCTTTTAATGTTTTCCCAACAACACTTGAACACCGTATGTGTTCGATGGCAATATGTGCTGATGGTGTTGAATTCTTCAGTAAGACGAATCCATCCTTTTATTTTTACCGAGTTCGTGGTAGCATCAGTGCGCTTATTTTCAACTATGTCCCGGTATTTAAGAACCAACTCCGTAAGAATACCTCGAAAAATTTATTGTTCGCTTTTTATGGCCTTCTAACTCCATTTTAAATAAAAAATATATGTTTAAGCTAACGAACCGACTTGCTTCACAATCACAAAACAAAACACAAATGAATATAATATTTCACTTTGACATTGACAGCAAACGATTTTATCCGACCGAAATTAAAACTACTACTATTTGAACTTTGTTAATACATTGTCATACTTTTCAAGTTGGTAGAATTCTACTTTAAACTACTCAATTAGGATGTTACTGTGTAGCATGCCGACTAAATGAGATACTACGACTCCGCAAATGAGTCACCGGCTGGCGATCGGTTGATTTGTAAACCGTGGTTAATATTTTCGTTGTGAACAGTAATTATTTGACCGGCTGTTTAAACATTGTTTAGAAGTTAACCGGGTGATCAATTAAACGTGGGTTAAACAACAGTCGATGAACTCGGGCCTAATTTGAATAAAATATAAGTTCTTCTAACATTAAATGCAGTGTCCACTTATTTATCGCTTCATCCATGTTTAATACGATTTTTTTTAAAAGTAGTATTCCAAATTTGCATCCTTTCCCTATACGAATGACTTAACTATTCAAAAGTATACAGGGCGTCCCTTGGCTACCTCACACGGAGGGAAAGTATATTAAATATTAAAGATAGGATATTTTACTGAAAGAAGACATCATTTCATTTTTAATAATAACAAGAACTGCATTCACAGATTTTTTAAAATTCGACTGCTACAACTGGGAAGCAAATTCGAGTTTTTTCGAAAAAAAAACGACATATTTTATGATAACCATCTAAAGGGTTTATCATAAAGATTATTTTTTACTAAATAATATAGCATTTTAAATGAAAGGAATGTCTTATTACGTGATAAATATAATAAAGTGATATACAAACTGTAGTACGTATGCATTTCTTTTTTAACTCAGTTACAATGCGATTGGCTGAAATTTGTAAAAATAATAATTCGAAAATGGAACACACATTTTCAAGCGTCTGTACTCCTAGCACACACCATTATCGAATTCGAATAGTTTGCGAGTGTGAAATGTCAATGTCAAATTTTGTATGGAAACTTATACAGCAGCACCACCAAGTACGTAACGAGAACTAAAAATCAGTACACATTTGACAATGACATTTCGCACTCTGCTGTTCTTTTATTTTGTGTTTCATTTTAGTTAAAAACCGGGTTCTCTTAATACATTTTCACAAAGGGAATCTAAATACGGAAAGATATCTAGAAATACTTAATATTTTAAGAGGTGAGATCAATAATCTTCCAGATACAAAACGACGAAATCTCATTTTCCAGCAAAATGGGGCTCATAACAGTAGGAGAATTGCCGAACACTTTCCGTCCTGGATCGGTTCTTATGGACAAATAAGATGGCCAGCGAGATCCTCAGATCTAACCCCACTGGACTATTTTTGTGGGGTTATGTAAAAGATGTAGTATACAAGAACGGATAGGACAGTGTGCAGGAGTTACAAAATTAATTCAGACATATTATTACAAACATTCACCACGCAAAGATAATGAAATCGACAGGCAAAGAAAACATTAATAGAGTGAGAATTTGCATACAACAAATCGGATCACATTTTGAACATTTGATACATTCAATTAAAAATTTTTCTTGCACCGTTTCGTTTTTTATTACTTTTTGTTGAATATTTTTTAATAAAATGTGTAATTTTATGACTTTTCTTTCATTTAAAATGCTATGTTCTTTAGCAAAAAATAATTGTTATGATTAACTCTTTCGATGGTTGTCATAAAACATGTCGTGTTTCTTTTTTCGAAATTTTACGAGTTTGATTCCCCGTTTTAGTTTTAGTTTTTTTAATGCAGTTCTAGTTATAATTAAAAATAAAATGATGTCTTCTTTAGGTAAAATATCCTATCTTCAATATTTAATATACTTTCCCTATTATATTACTCCTTCCGATTTGAATATAACGTTTTTTCCAGTCGTTATAAACATCATTTTACTGGTGAAAATAAAACTATTAAACAAAAGAGTGAAGTGACCTTATTTTTTTACCAAATAATTAAAGAATTTTAACCGAATTGCTAATTATTCAGCCATTCAAAGATCGTGGTAAGATTGTTGCAAAATTGCGAATTTCCTGCCAAATACTGTTTAAATATTGACTTATTATAATAATGATTTTGACAATCATTAATCATTATTAGTTTAACCTTAATAATTAGTCGATTTATTAAAGATTTAAAAAAAAATGATTTTTATTTGCAGTTGGAGATGGTGCAGCCTCAGGTAATTGAAATGAAAAAAAATACATTCATTTCTGAGGACAAATGACAAAAAATATTACAATTGCAGATTAATGGAATACTGATTAGTTTAGTGTGAAAATGACTCTCGTGTATTTTTATCCAATGAGCTTTGAGAAAAACCAATACAGTTTTCATTTTGTCATATTGTTATAATAAATAAATAAATATATCCAACACTCACACCAATTAGCCTAGCCCCAAAGTAAGCACTGTAAGGCTTGTGTTATGAGATAATAGGGTAACGGATAGAATACATATACTGTACATATATAAGTATATTTATATAGAAATACATATTAAACATCCATGACTGGAGTACAAATGCTCGTATTCATCACACAAACATCTGCCCCCACTGGGATTCGAACCCGGGACCTCTCGAGTCGGCGACATAATGGTTGCATTAAAGTGATTTTTTAAATTAATTTCTACTTAAAAAACAAAATAAAGTTATGTGATTATATAAACAAAAAATATAATTTAATAATCTTTAATACTTAATTGAAGATGAAATATGTATCAGTGGTTATATCCTCTTTGTATGTATCCAATAATACTTATAAGCTACAGTCTTTACTTTTTTTTAAGATTCTCCCTTTTTAGGGAAGACAAAGGGAATATGCCCATACAGCCTAGTCTTTAGTTATATTTTTTTTACATTAGAATGTTGGTTTGACGCATTCTAATATTTCTAGGAGTGTTTGGCACGAAATGCATCGAGTTGGCTTTTTCGATAAGCTTCTGTGAGGTAGTCAAAACTTCAATAAAGTTCTCACGTCCACTTGACCGGAATAGCGTATATTTTAAAGGCAAATTCTTCAGTTGCGCAGATGGTTGTAACACAAAATGATTTTGTCAAAATCGCACCAATCCAACAATATCCACTATGAACGAATATAAGAATTATTAAAATAACTAATAAGACGCCAACCGCACTCGATGAAATCCCGCCAAAAACCTTCCACAATCTTACTTTAGGGCTAAGCTGATTAATGTCAAAAATATTATTTATTTATTTTTTTAAAACAGGATCAGGCAGCTCTGGATGTGGTTGCGACGGAGCCCCCGGATGTGAGTATTAAAAGTCAATATAATGCAATAGAGATAGGCCATAGCGGATTTCCCGCCCAAATTGGAGCGCCTGGGGTAGTAACCTCCATCTTACAAAGACTACAGTAAAATTATCACTACTTTTTGTTGGTGTTGTGTTTCTGTCGGTGTGTGAGGTTCCAGGGCTCCACGGGGTAGTGGATTGGGTCAGGGTAGACAACGGCGCAGACAAATCCCTTAAGAATGCACGAAGGACGCCGTCATGTAAGATTCTCATTTAACTGTCAGTTAACTGTCATAATAAGGTACTCATGTTTCAAATTTATGATGGGCATTTAGATAGATTAAAGTACCTTGCAATCTTATACCTCGTTTATATGCAGCGCGAGTAAGGAGGGAAGTGGGCAGGGAAGTGGGCATGACAAGTATGTAAACACGATACTCGTCATGCCACTGCCATTGCCACTCGCGCTGCCCGGCGCTCCCCAAAAGAGCGGTTTTTTGTGCAGAAGTCAAAGGACCGGGCAGCCCGAGTGGCAATGCGTGTTCACACTCTGTGCGTCGCTTACCGCCACGCTATCGCCAAGCGCTTGTATTGCTGATATCTGCTTCAAAATTGAGTTGCAAGATTTCACCCGAATGAACAAACATACATTACATACATTGCAAGTTATATAAATAAATACTCTTTATTACGATGTTCTATTACGATGGATAGATATTATCACATCCACCATCTTCTACGACAAACTTTCTTTTTTTGTACTTTATATATTTTTAAATTTCGAACATAATTATGGATTGCAAAAAGTCACAGCGCGGCCGCTGTAATTACTTCGACGTCTGCCATTGCCGAAACTCTAAAGCGAAGTGAGCGGTAGGGCAGCATGTAAACACATAATTCTCTCAATCATACCGCAGCAATATTTAGGGAATTATTGCCGGCAACGCGAGGGGCAGCGGCATGGGCATAGTCTAAACGAGGTATTAGAAGATCTTTTAAAGGCCCTAGGAGATATGACGGCAGAAGTAAGAGAACAACTTTATTTTCAACAGGATGAAGCACCGACTCACAAAGTCGCATAGCTAGAGACTTTAAACTATAACTTTTCCCAAAAATGGATCGATAGTCCGTCCGTAGACCGTCTAAAAGCAGTCATAGAGTCAATTTTAACGCAAATTCACCACATGAAGATACAAAATGCAATTGTAAGATCATTACCAATAAGTATTGAATATTGTATTGAAAAAATCGGTGGTCACTTCAAACACCTACTTTAATGAATTAAAGTATGTGAAAACAATGCGTTTCCTCAGACCTACGTAGTCCATATCTAAATAAAAATAGTGTATGTTTTTTCTTTAAAACTACCGGGTTGGATTCCCGAGCTGAGTACAGGGTTATTTAAATGTATGAATGCAGTTTTTCTTCTTATTAAAATCGATGAGATGGTTCGTTAGAACAGATCTTCGTATGTCTTATAGTTTCAGAATTTCCCATACTGACCGATTTAAATGAGACAGCCTGTATATAAAAATAAAATCAGTAAAAGTGCCAAGCATGTTTATAGCATATTGTCCTGTCTGGAACCTTGACCAAGTTATGGCTTTTCTAGTTAAAAAAATCCTTAAAAATAGTAATTTAACCACATTTTTTCAGCTGGTGCCGGAAGTGGGTGGTGTGATTGACGCTGGTAAGTTAAAAATATTTTATTATTTCAGTACACAGTAATCTTGACACATTTACAATCGTCGAGGTGGACTAGTCTAGACAGTTACTGTAGCACAGCTACTTGAATTTTGTGACCGCGTCATCTGTCACTGTCTGTACATGCTAACATGTCGCTTCCCGGTATGAATTTACGCACCTTGACTGTGGCGCGCATCATTGGTGCGTAAGGTAAAGCGGCGTGCCTGCGCGCCGGCCAATCAGCGAACCAGCCCCTAACAATGGATATCCTGGGTTTTCCCGGGTGTAAACGGTCTTCGGCATCGGGGGAGCTCTACGGCATCGGGACCACTTCGGCGCGGTTGCTTACATCGGACGGACGGACCGGTTTCCTGATATAACGGTGATACATTGAGGACCGCGGGGACAATATATTATATTTATATTAGAGGACATTATATTTTAGGTAGGTATAAATAAATAAGACTGTAGGAAGGCCAAAGGGGAAGATCTTCCTCCGAGCTGGGTGATGTTAGCTCGGTGGCCACGGCCCGACTGATGTTGGTCGGGCATCGTATATATAAACTGTTGGCTGCCGAATTTCACTTGCGCGATGTAGGCTTCCTTACGTTGTGAACGCAGCGCCGGTGGCGCCATCTCTTGAGGAGGCGAGCGATTATTTCCTCCATGTCATATGTGGGGCATATAGATGTCGCCGCCACACCGCTAAAAAATTGCAGAATTTGACCACCTGTGTACCTATATGAAATTGCTAAAATTTAACCTTTTTTGTTTCAGCCTAATGCCTACATTAGCCTAAACTAGCGAGTAGAGACATCTATTTATTATCAGGTTTGTTTAAATTCACCTTTTTATATATAGAAAGGGTGGAAATCGAGTTATGACTCGATATAATTTATAATTTTTGTTATACGAGGTGCAATAAATTTCCCCACCCCACCTGATGTAAAGTGTGAGTGGATTTTTCTTTGAGTGTGTATGCTGTTGGTCGCAGATGACCTTTACAGCGTCACCGGGTTTTAGGACGGCGAGATCCTAGGGGAGCCTCAAGCCGAAAATTTCCGAGTGCCTCTAGAGGTATTCCAGTAGGATGGCATCTCCGCACGGGAGAAGTCTCCTCTCCGTCTGGAGCCTCTAGACTACTCGAACCTGAGGGGGTAGTGTAAGTTGGATCCAGTCGCGAAGATAGATGATGCGGCAGAAGGTGTAACGCTCCAGCCATCCTCACCTTGCCGTCCTGAAACCAATCCCCGTGGAGGTCTGATGAACACGGTACCCAAATGGTACTATTATTTTGGTCTTATGTCTTATACACCATGAATATTGAGTTACCCGAGAAAGGACATTGCTCGTTCCCCATACATTGAATGCCCTATAACGCCCAGCAATGAGAAAATGCTAGTTGTGTTTGGAATCATTCATAAACTCTAATTAAGCATTTGTTGAGATACGGACAACTTGAGGAACCGTGGCCTACTACAAAATGTATTAGATTTTAAGGTTATAATTATTATACTTAATCGTAAAAGATGTACACTTTATATATTCTGAATAGATTTAGTTTTTACCTCTATGTAAGCACTTAAATAATATGCATTAAATGAACATAAAATGCAATTAATAATAAAAATAATAAATGCTTATATTCATATTGATTTATGAGTGTTGTCAGTTGGCACCCGTAGTAATAATAGATTTCTTTTCAAATGAAATGTTCAGTCTTTCCATTTACCTGTTTCTATATTTTACTGTCGGTAATTAGGTATGTACCTGGTTATCATTATGATTTTCATAAAAATAAACAGATATTACATGGGATGGGAGTATAAACTATCTTTACATAATTTCAGAAATAATCTTTTTATAAATATAATATAAATACTAGTGATAAGTATTATTGACTAAGGTACCTAGTTCTATTTTTATGGTCGCCTATATTGCATTTATTAAGGTAAACAATCTTGGCACAACTTTTTAACAGAATCACCCGTTTAATAATAAAATATTAACGAAGCCAATAAACTATTAAAATAAATCGTTATTATAGACTGAAACCTATTGAATCTAGTTATCAGTTGATTTTTAATGCTGTATTTTCAATAAAAAGGAGTGCCAAGTTGGATGAACAGACTGTGGTATCTAGTAACAGAACTTTCATTTTTTATTTTCTTAAACAGATTGTCCGTTTACAATGATTAATTGCTAATAAGTTAAAAAAATAATAGAAAAATAATAGTGAAGGACATTCTTTTGGGCATGCTAGGGCCGATTTCGTCTATGTCCTTTACTAGCTAATTCAGACTACCATTTAGTAAGTTTCCGCAAAAAAAAAATCTTTAATAAAATTATTACTCTTTTCTATCCTCTACTTCTCAGCTCTCGCTGCGATCCTCTTCTAACCTTCTTCTTGAAATTCCCTGTCACTCTTCTGACTTCTTTTCTTATTCCTTTTCTGAGCACGCTGCTCGGCTGTAGAATTCTCTCCCTGAAGGAATCAGAAAGGCTCGTTCACTTAATTCCTTTAGCGATCAAGTTAGTGTTAGTGGGTACGACACTTTTTTTTAAGGAATATGGAGATTGGGTCCTGACTTTCCACGCGGGCCCAGTGCGGATTAGTGGGTGGTATATTAATACTTCGTGCCAACCGTGTGTTCCATGGTACTGACGCAATTTTTAATATTCTCTTCATTTATTTCAGATATCCAGAACTCTGTACAGAAAGAAGCCCCTAATTGAAATAAGGAAAATATTATTTTACTGAATCAAGGTACAATATACAATTTAAAATATAAATATATGTTTCATTTCAACATTCTGGCGTCCTGAGCTTATATTGCAAGGTTTCTTGAAGTTGTGTCTATGGACAGTTTAGGAGACTATAACATAATTATGTACCTATCTATCGTATCGCGTTACATTTTTAATCCTTTTTAAAGTCTTAGAAAGGCCACCAAAGACACCATTTCTTGTCTCTTTAAACTGTACTTGTAATTATTATTGTACAATCATCAAATTTTATTCCTGTCCCACCACAAGCATTTTAACCGACTTCAAAAAAGGAGGAGGTTCTGTGTTCGACTGTATATTTTTTTGTTACAACCTTTTCAAAACAATAAGGTAGAATTTTGCTTAAATATACGTATACTTGGAATCAAAATTGTTATTTTCTGAACAAATATTTGTCGTGATAGATTTTGCCGCCTTCCTGTGACATAATTTTGACATTAAATTATTTGGAGTTTTGCCCATGGACTAACAATTTCCCTATTAATTTACGAAATCGAAAGAGTTTCTGTTACATTTATGACTTTAGAAGTGATTTCGAAATTCAAACTGCTATTCCACTTTTTTCTAAAACCTTAGATTAAAACAAAAAGGGAAAATACGGTACATGCGATTCAAAAGTGATCCGCTTAAATTGTGGTACACGATCACAATTCGCTGTAGTCACAATTGGACATTCAAACACGGTGCAGGTACACTTAATATAACAATATTACGTACCTATATTCTGTGTTATAAAGATAAAACAATGCCTTCGAAGCTTTTATAAAGAACACAAATAGTTTAAAATCAAATAACAAATGCCTCGGCAACACTTCTTATTCGTGAAACTGTAAAATATTTTTTTTTCTCAAAATTACGGTTTGTCGTGAATGTTATTTGGGTTGTTCTACAAACTAAGGACGAAAATGAGTCCGATTCCGGCCCGACGATTTTTTTTTCATTATGGTTACAAAATATAGTTTATCATAAAGATTACATGGTCTTTTAGCCTATGCTAAGTGGAATGGATAAAATATTCGAGTTATGGCAATTATAAGAAATCAAGCAGCAGGAAACTGAGATTGTAATCAGGAGACTGAGGATTTAAACAAATATCAATGAAAATCAACGTTTATTTAATAATAAATTCACAAATAAAAACTATGCTTCTAACCATTAGTTTGTAATTGTCCAAATATCTTGAACTGTCGTGATAATTAAGTCTATTCTTGACTTATACTAATTATCTATCTAAATCAGTCTTGAACAGGAACTTTTATCATTAATTCTACAAAATTAGCATTAATAAAATAATAATGTTAACAAACACATTATTATTATTTTGACTTCATAGTATATAGCAGAAAAAGTAACATATGATGTTGAACAAAAATTATATTTCAATATAAACACTCAGGATCCTGCATTTTTCTCAGGCTCAGGCTATTTATTTGACAGGATCCTGAGACCAGGTTCCTGAGAATTTCGGAATAATATTTAAAAATAACGTCTATTTATAACATTCAACCAAAATCAAGCAGCATTAAGCCTTCGTGTAAGCAATATATACATCAAAATGCTACAATTACCGTATTACCACATGAATTTCGTAATTAAATATCTTACCAGGATCCTGTGAGCTCGACTGATTATGACGCGACTTCGTCCATCAAATGTGCCGGGCAGACTGGGTGCAAAACCACAGATGGAAAAAACGGCTTATTTCTTAAAAGCGTTTAAACGTTGTACTTTTTTAAATAAGCGCGCTTGAAAAAAAGCTTTTTCGTTTAAACGCTTATTGGCTTAAACGTTTAAAAGCATGCGTAAAAAGCGCGACGTTGTGTTGTGTTTTCGTTTAGGTATATCGTTTAAAAAAGCGTGAAAAGTTTATTGTCGTTTTTAATGTGTTTAAGTGTTTTATTGCATTTTTCTTCTTATTAATGAAATTTTTATTAAAAAGTTTTTTTAAACCTAATGAATTGATTGGCATTAAAAACGAAAGATTTTCAATTGAATTTAGATTTTATAATAAACATTTTTATAATAGTCAATGAACTTTCCTTCGAACTTTACATGCTTAGGACTGTCTGGAGTTAATATACTCGTGATCCAGGCGTACTTAAAAGTTCATTGATTTTATATACATACTTTTAACTATTTTATATGCACATTAAACCAATACACGAAACGCATTAACACAAGCAAGCATGCAAACACACCGTACAACACCCACGCGCTCTTACCCCGTCACAGTGACAAGCGTACTACTTTTCGAGTTCGTTTAATTAAACGCTTTTAACGAAAAAAGCGTTGGTTATCCGACCAAATTTTAAAAAAGTGCAATTTTTTACGTCGCATTATAATAATTCGCATGCTGTATTAACCGGCTCACGAAAGATGGCACGCCGACGCGGCGCTGTAGTCGCGCGTTCTATGTCTGTGATATTGTGAAATATTTAGTTCCAAGGAATTCCGCGTACCCATTTTTCGATACTGTAGTGGACTAGAAGGATCGAAGTATGTAGTTTCCTGGCAAAGACATAGATGGCGGGATTTGCACTTTTTAAGTAAAAAATATACTTGCACTTTTTTAAGTGAAAAGCTTACTCACACTTTTTAAGTGAAAAGCTTATAACGCTTATACTTAAAAGCGTGCTTACAAGCTTAATATTTTAAGCGCGCTTATTTAAGCGCTTTCCGTTTAAACGCCCACCGCTAAATAGGTGGTATTCTTTGTCTCTTTCCTACCGGCAACAAACTCGGCTAAACGTCAAGGTCGCGCGGCTAATAGAATATTGAATATTCGCTTATTTAACATTGGGCAGGATCCTGATATGAAACTGTTGGGACAACTTCTGGACAAAGTTTTTATAATGTTTTTGTTACAATAAATTAATAATATGTCACCTAGGTAACAATAATAATAGGATATCATTAATATTGGTTAAACTTATGGGCTCAATGTAGTAGAAAATAAATAATATTGCATATTAGATTCAATTTTGCTCGTGGGACACTCCAGGATCCTGGGAATTTGACGCTTTGAGTATTTTTTTTCCTAAGATAATATATTAAGTATCTAAATTATTTTTAGAGACTAGGTAGATATATGTATGGTAAACAATATGTTATGAAAATAAACTTAGTTGTAACAATTTTTTCATGACATTTTAGCTGAGCTGTCGAAAATTCCTTACTTTGTAGAACTACCCATTTACGTAATCGCCATTTTGTTATCAAGAAAAGGACAACAATAAAGCTCAACCGTTCGCACTCGGAAGCTGATTCGCCGTTTCGCTCGCGCTGCGTTGAAGCGTACAGGAGGCCTACTATATTTCAACGAAAAACGAAATTTCGATCGAAATTTCGCACGTTTCTTACTCTGTTTCCTTTTCATTTCGAAAATACGATCGTCCGAAATGGTTTGACATTTAAATTCTCTAAGCCTACTCTAATTCACAAAACTTTCGAAGGAAAAGTTGAATTTGACAGATAATTATTCGAAATTTTAACCTTAAATTGACGAAATGAAAAGTGTTACCTTTTCATTTTCGTTTTTAGATTTTTGTTTTAATTAAGCCTAAAATACTTGTAAAAGTATTTTTGAAGTTATACTTCTTTAGGCGCGTTATGAAAAAATGATGAGAGTGAATTTTTTAGATGCGCGCGCATCACTGTAACCCAAAAGTAACAGCATGAAGTTGGCCGCGGGCGCGTTATTAAAAAATCATGTGAGTGAAATTTCGAGATGCGCGCGCATCACTGTAACACAATAGTAACACCATGAAGTTGGCCGCGGGCGCGTTATGAATGTTAGTGTCTAACACTAAGTGGTTAATAATCCACCATTATTAGACATCTGTTCGAAAGGTACTTTGAACGATCCACGGAGCTCCATAAGATGATCGCGTTGTCAAAAACAATGTTGGCACGCTCGTCGCCTCTGATCACTGTTTCCATATTTATAATATTTATCCTGTTTCTAGTTTCTATATAGACACAACGTGTTTTAATTACTTACAAGTGCTAATTACATATGGACTAATAACTTAAATTCAGTAGTGATTTTAATTGAATATTTTGAATATTTATTTAATTTTTCAAATTAAAACTGAACTTAATTGACTGTGTTAATTATCCTTTTCCAGTCCTTTTATTATTTTATTGTAATTATTAATTATTTGCATGCAATTAAAAAATATTTTTAATGATGCTGAAGAAGTATAACTTCTCACGCGCGTACATAAGTTACACGCATCCATTTTTAATAATAGCTGCTTAGCTCGAGAATCTAAAATGATTGAGAGCATGTAAAATTAACAAATAACAATAAATTTATTGTAATTTCATTACTTCAAAGTATTAAACGACAAATTTAGGTTGACATACAGTAGATTGTATCAACTCTACAAATTAGTCGACTAATACTGTCAAAGAATGTTCTTTCAATGTCATCAAAAAATTTGGCATAAACTACGTATATTGTTTCCAAATAAAAAAACGTTTTCTTAAAAGTAGAGATAAAAAGAATTCACAAACATGACTCATTCCATTCGTTCACGAAAACTGTTTATGGTTCCGAAGTTAATGTGCCTGTTCGAAAATGAAATAGAGTAGAGTCAATGGCGAAATTTCGTTTAAAATTCGTTCGTTACTGAAATTTCGTTTCGGAGAAAGAGAGTAAAGCTCCTGTTCTGTCTCGCTCGATCGATTGAATGTTATTTACAAACGTGTGCGTGTGTGAGAGTTGCTTATGTAGTTGAGTCGGATCATATTTTATTTGATGCTAGTATGAGCGTACCGTATCTCTCCTTTTTGTTTTAATGTAAGTCTAAAACATTAACTATTCCATTGAAAATAAAGGTCAAATTTCAAATATTTTTGATTCATATTAACACAGATTCCATGTTATTAGGAGGTACTTAGTAGTCAATTACGCATTCTCTACAAAGGAAACTTGTCTGTTTTGACATTTTTAAGGGAACTGTCGGGCAAGTGGGTGTGAAATCAGGTGGATCGTTCGTAAATAAATAAAAGAATTCGTTTGATAAATTGAAATAACTTTATTGAAAATTTTTATTGAAGCATTGACAAACTTATTATGCTTATTTATAGATAAATAAATACGAAACAACTATTATTTCATCTATCGAGAGTAGCAAATCGAAAAGCTGAGGCTGTGATCGCTTTTTCTCTATCTGTAACAAAAACATTTTTTTTAAAAGCTGCGAGTCTCATTGTTGCGAACAATATGAGACACGTGAAAGTTATAAAGAGCGAGATGTAATTGCTTTATGAATGAGAGTGAAAGAGACTACTTTAGTGCACTCTATTGGCGGCTGTTGCCAAGGGAAGTTGGGGCGGAGACTAGTTGTGCCATTTTAAAATGCAATAATGTTAGTGTATGATCTGTCTATACAGGGTTAATTTTAAAATACCAACAATCACTTAGGGGTGATTCTACCCATTAACAGGAACCACTTTTAATATGGGACCAACTCCGAAATTGCGAAAAAAAATCCACTGTTTTAAAATAAAAAAAAAGTGGGCGCTGAAGTTTGCAGGTGCAGTTGGGACCAATGCGTTAACTTGTCTTCCGATGCACTGAGGAACTAGAGATAGTAAATTCTCCGTCACCAATCTCGTTAATGGCCATTGCGAAAGTTACTTGACTTCCACAATCTCAAACAGACCCATCTTTCCCAGTGGGCACTTTGGGCAAGTGGCCAGGGCCCCGCGATCGATAGGGGCCCCCTCAGATCAAATACAAAGTCCCTAGTTCCTGTTAATGTTACAAGCCCCATATGTTCCTTCCCGTTCGCCTTTGTTACATGTCACGTTTTTTCTACGCCCTCTGCGGTATGTTACATTCCCCATACGTTTCTGATCTTTCTCCTATATGTTACATGTCCCATACTTTTCAGACTTTTACAATAGGATAAATTGAAAGAAATTTAATACTTACATCTTTCAAGGGTTTCCTTTCCCGCCTTAGGAAGAATCTAAAAGGAAATTTTAGCTTTACAGTTTCATAAACTTTCTTTAAAACTATGACAGCTTCAACAAGAGAAAAGACAATTTAGAAAAAAAAACCTACACTATTTATCAGACATGTTATATTTTTGTTCTACACACTTAATATCGCAAAAAATGTACCTACTTCAATAAAAACAATGACTAATGTAAATATATGAAAAAGTAAATAAAATATATTGTGGCATGAAAATAAACTTTATTAATAAGTTAGCTTGAAAAAAATAGCACTGCGATAAAAATCGATTTATAAGGGATGAAGGATAACGAAAAGATTTTCTTACCTTTCGTGCCATTGCAGCTACCGTTGTCACCGTTGTCATCACCGCCGTTATCATTATCGTCATCACCGTTGTCATCACACTTGCCTTTGCCCTTGTTGCCGCCGCCGTCGCCGCCTATGACTGTATATTATAACAGAAATATTTATTTTTCTATTTGATTCAACAATAATAAAAACATTAATTCACTTTAATAATAACAATAAAATAATAATAATAGTCTTTATTGTAGTAACACCACACAAAATACAAAAGAAACAAAACATGGAAGTTTTAGCTAAATGTGTAACTAACTGAAGGTAAGTACATCATTCAATAGGTTGCTATCATTAATTACTTTAAATAATAATTAAAACTCATATCATATGTTATAAAGCTACATATATATATTTATTGTTATTAGAGTAAAGGTAAATACTAAGCTCGTATTCACTATCACCAAAACATTCTTCTCATAATCATAATCATTTATTTCGTAATAAATAACACGTCGATTATAATTTCACAATAGAAATATATAGAGTATTTTATACATTATATGAATTAAAATGTCAAAATTCAATTCTCATGTAAATTTCAAATCAAATAAAAATACATTACACTTATGCTAAAACAATTTAAAATAAAATATGTGTACTAAAATTAAATTAAATGTCGATTAGTTACATAATACAACAATAAAACAAAACATAATGAATAAAAAAATAGCCATTCAATATTAAATAATACAAGGTTAATGCAAGGACTGAGCATTCAAAAACTCATCGACACTATAAAAGATACTGTCAATGTATTACTTTAACTTAAGTTTAAATTTTTTTAAACGACTCTCATATACCCTTACTGGTGGACCCGTAGATAATGTTATAACATAATAATAATAATAATTTATTCCCAAATTTTTTATACAATATTGTTTTACAAATAACAGGCACAGGATATTTTAAAACTAAGGATCTGTTGGTACTTATAATAGGGAAAACTCTGTGACTTAAGTAATAAAGACCACCAATTAATCTTTTGGTAATGAAGATGAAATAAATAAATAAATTATAGGTCCATAAAAAAATATCTTACTGCGTAAAATGCATAAAACTTATTTGCTTTGTACACAAGTACTCACTTCCTTTACCGACGCTCCCTCCACCGCTGAGTGCTAAAAAATGGTGAAAAAAAAAATAGAAAATACACAATATAGTAACTTGTCAAATTACAAAAGCAAATCTTTAGATATAAATAAACGGCATTGCTCAGCTTAAATACTAAGTACATAGTTCACCCCATAGCGAAATCCTTCATCCCTATTTGACCCAAAAACATATCTGACATTTTATAGTGAATTATTAATAGGCTAAGTACCTATTTGAAATGATTTTGAAAACATTCATACGCTATTGATTAGTGTAGAAATATTGAGTGACACCATAAAAAGTACTGTTGCGTATATCATTAAAAAAAATAAAACAAAATGATTGTTAAATTTGCCGCAAAAACATTTCACTAACAAATATGGCGCAATTCTTACAGGCAGGTGACGTCATGACACGACTCTCGTTAAAACGATAAAAAGCATGTACTTTTTATCGTAATGTTACTTCGCAGGATGTTTCATGGGCATGTTAACATTCATTACAGTCATTTCACCCAATAGTCAGGATGTGTCGTGCCTATAATGAGTCAGTTGGTGTGCTTATGGATTGTTTAGTCTCAATCAATTAAAAATAATGTGTTCTAGAATTCTTAGGTCAAGCGCTTTGATATAATAAGATTTTTAGTTTGATTTATTTAATTGAATAACTAAATAAAATCGTATATCATTGATTTGCTAATGTTTTGTATTTCTTGTGTTATGTTTTATTTATGTAAAAGTATACATTTAGACACATTAGACATTGTAGGTTACCTATAATGCGAAGAGATGGCGCTGCCTTGCAGCTTAAGAATGTCTAGAAGAATTTCGACGCGGTCCGTGAGGGCCGCGGTAGCATAATTGGTCAGTGCATTCGCCCGGATTGCGAAGGGTGCGGGTTCGAGTCCCGTCTGCTGCCTGGTCCGCGTGGATTTTTTTCTAGTTATATTTTCTTTTGAATTTATAGATTTCAATTTGATTTTATTTGAAACAATTTAATTTAATACAATGCAATGTAACAGGTAATATCGATTTAGTGTTATTTGCTTTATATATAACTACATTCTTTGTGTATGCATGTTAAGTGTTGCAATCTTGTTCGTCAATTATTAATAATTCAGTACTTAGTTGATTCTAATATGTTATGTATACCGAATAAATAAAAATACATCAAAATGAAAATGAATTTTATAGGCATTATTGGTCAGATTTCTTTTTTCATAATTTTTAGTAATATAGACAATTCCTTTTTAGGACTAGTGAATATGCTTCCGATATTCATTTTAAATAAATACACATGCCTATAATAAGTATAGGTTCAAAATACGGACCCGATGGGCGTCCAAAATGTAAAAATAATTTGAAATATACCGTGTTTAGACAATGCCTGCTTGGTTACTGAAAATTCAGGCTTCTAGTTTTATCCACAACGTAGTTACAGGGGGTCGAAATTGACCTGAACTGTTTCGATAACAGGGTGGTACGGCAGTGCCGCTTCTTTGCTCGACTTGGCGAGGGCACTCCCGTGCCCCCAAAATTAACCATAAAATAATAATATATATTGTGATAATCCCAAAATCCGAAGAACTTCTACCTATCAGTAGAATAGTAATTTACATGTACTGTTGCAACAGTACAAACTGTCAAATTTAATAGTTTAGATATTTTTATACGAACCTTGTGTCACTTGCCTGTAATACGCCATAATTTGCTAGAGGAGCGTTGCCACGGCATTTTTGAACTCTGAATTTTTATTTTTTACTCATATTCGCAAGAGAATTATAAATGTCCACTTTTTACGGAGTCACTGGTGTCGATTCTGGCGTGATTCTCTAAACTTAAAACTAAATTTAACATCAGTCTGTCCTTTTCATTCTGTATAGAGAATGACAACGATACACTGTTGTCAAATTTAACTTTAGATTAAGAGAATCATGCCAGAATCGACACCATTGTCTCTCCTTTTCATTCTGTATAGAGAATGACAAGAATGTATGAACGTTTTCAAAACCTTGTCAAATAGCCTATTTTCTGCGTAACTTTCATAATATTTTTATTCTCATACTTATTTAATTGAGTTTTCTAATATTTGTACAAAGAATAATATAATGGACGATGAAATCGATAAAGTTGTTGTCAAAAAATACAATAATTCTTGATTATCATCATCATCATCATCAGCCTATTAATATCCCCACTGCTGGGGCACAGGCCTTTCCTATGGATGGAATAGGGAAATTGGTTCATGATCCACCACGCGGGCCCAGTGCGGATTGGCGGGTGCTAATGACTGCAGATGCAACCAACGGCTTAACGTGCCTTCCGAAGCACGGAGGAACTCGAGATAGAAAATATTTGGTCACCCATCCAATGACCGACCACTGCGACAGTTGCTTAACTTCAACGATCGCAGCCGAACGCACTAACCCTACGCGCCATCAAGCTACTCGAAATTCTTGAGAATAATATTTCGTAATCTGTTATGAAAAACAAAAAAAGAACATACCGTCAATTGTCAGTCCGATAGCTGTAAAAAAAAATCATAATATTATACAAATCCAATAAACATGCCAAGGAAACTATTAAATGCGTTAATTTCAAAATTAAAATTAAAAAAAAATCCCTACTATGTAACTTTATTTTATAAAAAAGTGCTAACTAATATAATTATGTGTCTGTATATGAATTTAGTAGTATCATGAAAAATATCAATAAGGTTTTTTGATACTTACGTATGTTAAGAAGCCCGGTGGGTGCTGTAGAGCCTGTAAGAAAAAGCATTGTTACGAATGTGAAAAAATAAAATAAACCTATTGGACGCGTATTTTTTATTTTTTCACATAAACAAAACGTTACAGGAATACCTATATTGTTTTGAAATGTCAGTTGACGTCACGTCTTGGAAATTTTTTTACCTAGTGACGTTACGAACCACGAACTTCCATAATTTGATACGCTTTATCTTTGTAATTTTTTGGTTGATTGACAAAAGTAAAAATATGTGTACATTATGTTTTGATAACCTAACTGACGGAATTAATAGAATTTCCTTTACTTTACCCCTTCATCATCCCCATTTCATTATAATATATGTTCTTTACATAATATAAAACCAAGTATATCCCGCGTCTGTGCCCCAACAGTTTTTAAAGTACGCCACATATTTTAATGCAATTTACAGCAATTCCAGAGAAAAACAATAACTATACTCTTTACCGAAGCGAAGCGAAGATGGTAATAGATATACAGTAATATGTGTTACTTATAATAAAATAAAGTATGATTATAATTTATGTTATATTATAATTATTATTTTTTGTTATTAATCTGCCTTTATTAAGTATTCAATTTATTTATTAACATTTTCATTTGAATTAGTTAAATTATAATCTCCAAAAAAATATTGAACATGAAAAAACAATTCGACCCATTGAAATAAAGAGTATCAATATACATACACATACACTTCTGGACATATCTATCGGCCTATCTAGAAATTCAAATTTTACACCCTCTAGCTAAAGGTAAATGTTACATTGAGAAAAGGGTCATTATACGAAGTACAAAAAAAACTGTTCTTTGGTGATGTTTGACTATTTATAAGTTGTTTCAAAAGCTGAAAAAATCTATTTAGTACATTATTGTGACTATTTACCAAAAACATAACAAATTCAACCATACCTTATCTGCTAATTTGTTAAAATAAATCAAAACAGAAGCGTGGTCATACTCCGTGAACTGTTCTAAACACATTTTTCGTCAGAAAAGCTGGGAAAAAAGATAAATTACACACTTGAATTAAAACGAACTCATAGTATCTGTTTTCACACAAGCCAAAAAACCTAAGAACATAGTAGTTTATTTTTTCTTATTAATATATTAAAATTTATAGCAATTATACAGGTGTTATAAAAATTTAAATCAATACCGTGAACTACTATTTTCACCCAACAAAAAATTTTTGAGAACTGAATTACTGCTCTTATTACCTGGTTACACTGCTTTTTGCTGTTAGTTCAGTTGTGTGTGCTAACCAACAAGGAGGTTACGTACTGTGAAGTTTTGTTAAAAAAATATATGTAATATACGTTTCTGGTAAAGTTTGGACCGTCAATTCGGTTAGGGATTTTTTTGGTATGTAGTAACATATATACTTTGCCACCATAGCTCATAATTAATGCCATGGGGACTTATTTTGGTTGTAATTATAAATTAATATATCATTTATCATTTCCGTGGACATGAATGTTTGATTTTTTTATTGTCTTTTCGAATTATTGATCAAAATAATGTTTCATAACTTATGTTATCTTGGTTTAATGGTTTTCGGTAGAACATTTATTATTATCATAACTCTATTAATTCTTAAGTTATGATCACTTAGATCATTTCAATGAAAACGCGCGTCAATTCTGTGAGACTTAAAAAATGAGTTCTCATGTTTTTACGTATTAAACGTAATGAAAGTTCTGTTTTCTGTTGTGATTATGGTATTTGACTATATTTTGCAAAAAATAAATGTTTGAATCCCAAAAAATCCTCACTTTAATTTTTGTGATTTAAAAAAGCCCATTTCGTACAATGACCCAAAAAAGTTTTAACCTTTAAACTTATTTATAAGTTAACATTACGTAACCATATTTTTCGTGTGCTTACATTCCTGTACTCGTTTGTAATAACCAACTTACCACACTAATATCATACAACGTTTTTCAACACATTTGCTAGAAAACGGTACCCATAACTAATGTAATGATGCAAATTTATTCTAATAATAAGTGAAAATAAGAACTATTTCTTTGGTCTCTTTTTCTTTTTAGTATTAAAGTAAGACAATTAAAATAGAATAAAAGCGCTCCCAAGGAGGCCTAACAGTGATTAAAAATAAAACCGTAAAGGATAAGTAAGGCGCCATGTATGGGAGCGTGCGGTAAAATGATATTTCTATCCTACTCTAATTAATAGAGTCGCAAACAAAATGGGCAGAATCTACTAATAGTAATAAAATATTTATGTTTCTGAGTGGGATGGTAAAAAGTACAAATGCACCTACTTCAATAAAAATAATGACAAGTGTAAATAAAATAATCACCCTTGCCGCCGCCGCTGCCGCCGCCGCTGCAGCCGTCGCTGCAGCCGCTGCTGCCGCCACCGCTGCCGCCACCGCTGCCGCCGCCGCTGCCGCCGCCACCGCCTATGACTGTTTATTATAACAAAAATATTCATTTATCTATTTTAAACAACAATAATAAAAACATTAATTCACTTTAATAATAACAATAAAATAATAATAATAGTCTTTATTGTAGTAACACAGCACAGGGTACAAAAGAAACAAAACATGGAAGTTTTACCTAAATGTGTAACTAAATGAAGGTAAGTATATCATTCAATAGGCTGCTATCATTAATTATTTTAAATAATAATTAATACTTATATCATATGTTATATAGCCACATATATATTTATTGTTATTATAGTAATAGTAAATACTTTAAGTTTTTTATTTACACTTTAAAAGCTCGTATTTTATCGTCAAAAAAGGACAATGGGCAAAACACACCCAGCTCCGCCAACAATGTAATTAGTTAGAATCGATAGATCTATGAAAAACTAGCCTTTTTTATTATGACACCGTAAAAATATCCTGGTAGTCAAAAGATATGACACATGTGCTTATTTAAGTAGCTAAATAAAATCATTTTATAGTACCTTCATTTTATATTATTAGTAACCATAATAATGTGCCATATCGTACATACAACCAAATATACGACGAAATCATCCTACGCTTGCACTGACCGATGCATCTCAAAACAGTTAACTGGGGTTGAAGGACTTTTGCAGTTGCAAATAGTCGACTCGTCTTACTTCGTTGTGATTATGTGCTTCCTGTCACTTGATTTTTATCTAAGACGTTTTGGACATTGGAACACGATTATTGGTTTTGTCAATTAGTATGGATGAACTGGAACCATGTTTCCTCCGAAGCGTGGACAAGTTTGTGCGATTTGTGGTTGCTCCGTTTTACATACAAGACAATTTACTATAACGAACAGAATGTTTAAAAACCCCAACCCATGCGGGGATTTTTGGATTTACTCTAGCGCGGCAGAATAACTTAAGGGCCTCCTTAGGTAAGAGTGCCCACCTGCGCCTTATGAAGTACGCCTATAATACCTAAGCCCCTATGTAGGGTTGAACTAAGTAACTTAATTAATTCCCTAGTTACATTAATGTTCGTTCGTAATAGTACTTGTACCTATTTAACTAAAAATGACTAAAGACCCCCGGGATGGAATTTGATGCGCTTTGGCACAGATAATCACGACTATAATACCTTTCAAACAAATGTAGTTACGCCAAGTTGAACGTGGGTCCATAAATTTTTGCCCAATGTCCTTTGTCTCATAATCATAATCATTTATTTACGTAATAAATTACATGACGATTATAATATCACAATAGAAATACAGAGAGTTATTATACACACATCAAAAGTGTCTAGGGATCAACATATATTTTTGCAATAACTTTTCTCCTGATTGATATTAATTAAAATTTTCTTTAAGGATTCATCAAATAAAGTGTTTTCGTTTGTCACAGTAACGATAAACCAAGTCACCTTTGCATTAATAAAGAAATTTGCCATTTTCCTAATAAAGGGATTTTTGACATTTGAACCACTAACACAAAAGTTCGAAAAAAAGACTGAAATAACAGTTTTCTCTAAAATTTTATTGGGTAACTTAAACAATTAATAATCCGTATTTCTACCGCGAACACTAACAACACAAGAACATCGGTTTGGCATACTCAAAATGAGTTCATCCAAATCACGCTGTGGAATGGCCGCCCATGTTCGTTGCAACAACAAAAAAAGGTCTTCTTGCGACTGGATACCCTCCATATTCGGCAGAGCTCTTCTCTGTAGCATATCCCATGCATGCTCAATCGGGTTCAAGTCTGGCGACTGAGCAGGCCAGGGCAGGACATTGATGTTAGCTGCGGCGAGAGTCTGTCTTACAACTCTTGCGGTGTGCGGTCGTGCATTATCATGCATTAACTGAAATAAGGGACCGATTTGCACTTGTAGAGGAAAGATGACGTCTGATACAATCGTCTCAGCATAAATTTGAGCGTTGAGGTTGCCTCTGATCCAAATCAACTCAGTTCTTCCGCCGATCCAAATACCCGCCCATACCATGATGGTTCCACCACTATAAGGATGGACTTCCTGGCAGGATTTTAATCGCTGTTGGCGTCCAGGGGTTCTCCAGAGTCGTATACGTCTTGTATCCAGTCTCATACCAAAACGAGACTCATCAGAAAAGCACACGAAACGCCATTGTTCTTCTGCCCAATTTCTGTGTTCAAGAGCCCATTGATATCGAATCCTACGATTGTGCATTGCTATAGGTGGTACCCGTAGCGGTCTTCGGGAATGAAGGTTCACTTCATGCAAGCGGTTTCTGACTGTTTGGTCGCTAATTAAGTTCCCTGAAGAGTGATGAAGCCTCACGGCTAACATCATGGCGGTTATTGTTGGAGCTCTTCGAGTTAAGATTTGAATGTATCGGTCTTGTCTCCGTGTGGTGCAGCGATACCGTCCTCCATGGCGCTCAGCCACGGTACCAGTGCTTCGGTATCGTGTCCAAAGTCGACTGATAACACTCTGACTTGTATTCAGAGCTAAAGCCACAGTACGTTGCCGGGAACCAGCTTCTATCATTCCCACGGCTCTGAGCATTTCTTCCCTGCTTAAATGACGTCGCCGCTCCATAATAACGTTGGTTTTAATCAGTAGTAGGGAAACAGTAGCACTAATAATGTCTTCAATGCGTTGTATGTTTTTATAGGGAAAATATTGACAGCTGATTTTCATCTTTTACTCGAATTTGATTCACAGTTCCTGATTCAAATTATGAAATGCACCAAAAAGGATCCATATAAATTTATAAAATCATAAATTTATTACAAAGCCACATCTCAATCTCAAGAAATCCGCATAAAAATGCTTGATCCCTAGACACTTTTGATGTGTGTATGAATTAAAATGTTAAAATTCCATTCTCATGTCAATTTCAAATTAAATAAAAATACATTTAAAATAAAATATGTTTACTAAAATAAAATTAAATGTCAATAAGTACAATAATAAAACAAAAACTAATGAATAAAAAAAATGTAATACAGTATTAAATAATCCAATTCATGCAAGGATTCAAAAGCTCATTGACACTATAAAAGGTTCCGTCAATATTGAACTTTAAGTCAAAAATTATTAAGAGACTCTCATATACCCTTACTGGTATTCTCGTAGATAATTTTATAACATAAAGACCACCGTTTAATGTTTTAGTAATAGATATAAAATAAATTATAGGTCGATAAAAAAATATCTTACTGCGTAAAATGCATAAAACTTATTTGCTTTGTACACAAGTACTTACTTCCTTTACCGACGCTCCCTCCACCGCTGAGTACTAAAAAGTGGTGAAAAAAATAGAAAGTACATAAATGTAGCTTGTCAAATTACAAAAGCAAATCTTTAGAAATATATAAACGGCGTTGCTCAGCTTAAATACTAAGTACATAGTTCACCCCATATTGAAATCCTGCATCCCTATTTGACCCAAAAACACATCTGACATTTTATAGTGAATTATTAATAGGCTAAGTATTTAAAATGAATTTAAAAACATTCATACGCTATTGATTAGTGTAGAAATATTGAGTGACACCTTAAAAAGTACTGTTGAGTATATCATTAAAAAAAAGAAAATAATTATTGTTAAAGGACAATGTTAAAATTGGCCTAAGAACCAACACCAATTTGGCATTTATGATAATTCTTAGTATATTTATAGCGATAATTATCAGTATTTAGATAGTGACGGACACTTCCAGTTAAGTAAGCTAAATTAAAAAGTTAAAAAATAATCTAAGACAATAAATACCATTTTATGTGTTTAATCTATGGCAGCGCTGCAAACAAAACACTCTTTCTTCCTAATGTCGGCACTTCACTTGCCTATTCGTATTTGCTATTTTAAAACATGACATCAGTCTGTCCTTTTCATTCTTTATTAAGCATGACAAGGACAAACTTTTGTCAAGTGAAGGGCCGGCATAAAACTTGTTACTCTGTGGTTGTAGTGCATGCAGTTTCATAGTAATCTGTGGCATTCGATTAATATACCGGAAAGTGCATGCTCGTTTCGGATTACCTGTTGTGTGTGTTTATTTGCGATTGTTTTTCCTTTAATTTAACTATTTTGGCTATCTAATATGCCATCGAAGTTACCAAAGAGCGGAGACCTTATTACCAAGTGCTAGTGAATCTGTGCCACAACATCCTGACGGGATCATACTGCCAAATTATTCAAGAGCACCTGATACACATTCACGCTGCATATTTACACAATATACATGTGATATACAAATAAATACAATAAACAATATGATACATTTATGGAAAAAATAGTCAATAAATAAGATGCAAAACTACAGTTTTTTATTTTATTCATGATTCCTACCTAACCAAGTTTTTCCTAATAGTTATTCTTTAAAATCGCACCGAATTAAATGAATTAGTTATAATATTAATTCACTTCATACTGAGTTCATACTAAATTCACAGGTTGACCTATGTTTCATTGAAGATTAAACATAACCTCAAATAAATTTTAGTTTTCCTAATAATTTAAGTTCTCAGAAGTGTCCGTCAATAATCTTTGTTTTTACAGTCATTTACTTACGATTTTGAACCTGGAAAATAATATTTCATGATTGTTGGTTCTTAGGCTAACTATGTATGGACGCTGAACAATGTCCTTTGCCGCGGAAACATTTCACTAGTAAATATGGCGCAATTCTTACAGGCAGGTGACGTCATGACACGACTCTCGTTAAAACGATAAAAAGCATGTACTTTTTATCGTAATGTTACTTCGCTGGATGTTTCATGGGCATGTTTACATTCATTATACTCATTTCACCCAATAGTCAGGATGTGTCGTGCCTATAATGAGTCGGTTGGTGTGCTTACGGATTATTTGGTCTCAATTTGAATTAATTAAAAAAATGTGTTCTAGAATTTTTAGGTCAAGCGCTTTGATATAATAAGTTTTTAGTTTGATTTATTTAATGGAATATGTACTTAAAAAATCGTATATCATTGATTTACTAATGTTTTGTTTTTCTTATGATGTAATATAATTTCATTATTATTATTTAAATCAATTGTAAGTAATTATATCGAATTTATAGTTTTCAATTTTATTTGAAACCATTTAATTTAATGCAATGCAATGTAACACAGGTAATATATCGATTTAGAGTTATTTGTTTTATATAACTACATTCTTTGAGTATGCATGTTAAGTGTTGCAATCTTGTTCGATTCGTCAATTATTAATAAGTCAGTACTTAGTTGATTCTAACATGTTGTGTATACCGAATACATAAAAATACATCAAAATAAAAGTGAATTTTATAGGCATTATTGGTCAGGTGACAATAGATCGAAAAATACATTTTTTTTTTCATAATTTTTAGTAATACCCTATAGACAATTCCTTTTTGGTGGGACTAGTGAAATTGCTTCCAATATTCATTTAAAATAAAAACACATGCCTATAATACGTATAGGTTTAAAATACGGACGCGATGGGCATCCAAAATGTAAAAATAATTTGAAATATACCGTGTTTAGACAATGCCTGTTTGGTTACTGAAAATTCAGGCTTCTAGTTTTATCCACAACGAAGTTACAGGGGGTCGAAAATTACCTGAACTGTTTCGATAACAGGATGCGTCCGTACGGACGTGCCGCTTCTTTGCTCGACTTGGCGAGGGCACTCCCGTGCCCCCAAAATCAACCATAAAAAAATAATGTATATTGTGATAATCCCAAAACCCGAACGAACTTCTACCTATCAGTAGAATAGTAATTTACATTGCAATAGTACAAAGTACAAACTGTCAAATAGTTTAGACATTTTGATAAGAGCCTTGTGAGTCACTTGTAATACGCCTAATTTGCTAGAGAAGCATTGCCACGGCATATTTGAACACTGAATTTTAAATTTTTTACTCATATTCTAAAAGAGAATTAATTATAAATGTCCACTTTTGATGGCGACCTCCTTGACCGAGTGGTTTGTACGCCGGGTTTCATGGTGTCGCCGACTCAAGAGGTCTCCCGAGTTCGAATCCCGGTGGGGGCAGATGTTTGTGTGATGAATACGAGCATTTGTACTCCAGTCATGGATGTTTAATATGTATTTCTATATAAATATACTTATATATGTACAGTATATGTATTCTATCCGTTACCCTAGTATCCCATAACACAAGCCTTATAGTGCTTAGCTTGGGGCTAGGCTAATTGGTGTGAGTGTTGGAAATATTTGTTTATTTATTATTTATTTACTTTTTATGGAGTCACTGGTGTCGATTCTGGTATGGTTCTCTAAACCAAAAAAATAATTTAACATAATATGTCTCTATTTTTCAGTCTGTATTGTGAATGACAAGTAGAATCATGTCAGAATCAACACCACTGTACACTTAAAATAACGTATGAACGTTTTCGAAACCTTGTCAAATAGTCTATTTTCTGCGTAACTTTCATAATATTTTACTCTCATACATCCTTAATTGCGTTTTCTAATACAAAGTATAATATAATGGATGATGAAATCGATAAAGTTGTTGTCAAAAATATAATAATTCTTGATTATCATCATCCTATTAATGTCCCCACTGCTGGGGCACAGGCCTTCCCTATGGATGGAATAGGGAGATTGGTCCATGATCCACCACGCGGGCCCAGTGCGAATTGGCGGGTGCTAACGACTGCAGATGCAGCCGGGACCAACGGCTTAACGTGCCTTCCGAAGCACGGAGGAACTCGAGGTAGAAGATATTTGGTCACCCATCCAATGACCGACCACTGCGAAAGTTGCTTAACTTTAACGACCGCAGCCGAACGCACTAACCACCCGCCCTTGTTATGAAAAATAATAAAAGGACATACCGTCAATTGCCCCTCCGACAGCTGTGGAAAAATGCAATATTATACAAATCCAATAAACATGCAAAGGAAACTGTTAAATGCGCTAATTTCAAAATTAAAATTATAAAAATATTTCAAATATTTTTCCCTACTATGTAATTTTATGTCATAAAAAAATCATAGCTATCGGACTTTGGATATATGGTCCATTTTAATAAAATTACACCGATGCTAATATAATTATATGTCTGAATATGAATTTACTAGTATCGTGATAATTTCAATTAGAATTTTTGATACTTACGTATGTTAAGAAGCCCGTTGTTTCCTGGAGATATACTGGCTGTAAAAAAAGCAAATTTTTGTTTCATCCTCCATCAGGTACATCAGAAAGTATTGGACGCGTATCTTTTATTTTTTCACATAATCTAAACGTCACAGGAATATGTAATTTTTTGATTGATAGACAAAAGAAAAGATATGTGTCCATTATGTTTTGATAACCTAACTGACGGACATTACATTATAATATATGTTCTTTACATAGTATAAAACCTATCCCGCGTCTGTGTTTTTAAAGTACGCCACATATTTTAATGCAATTTACAGCAATTTATTGATACATTCCAGAGGAAAACAAAGTCTATACTCTTTACCAAAGCGAAGCGAAGATGGCACATATGTATTACTTATAACAAAATAAAGTATTAAACAAAAAAGACAATTCAACTCATTGAAATAAAGAGTATCAATATACACTTCTGGACACATCTATCGGCCTACCTAGAAATTTAATTTTGACGGCCTCTCGATACACATTAATGGTACATTGAGAAAAAAGATTTAAGTTTTAAACTAATTTATAAGCTAACCTTACGTTACCATATTTTTCGTGCGCTTACATTCATGTACTCGTTTGTAATAACCAACTTACCACACTAATATCATTCAACGTTTTTCAACACATTTGCGATAACACAGTACCTATACCTAATGGTTTGAAGCAAACTTTTTCTACTAAGAAATTGGCGCGCATTTCCAAATAGCGCCACGTGCAGGTCAAAATTAGAACTACATATTTCTTTCATCTCTTTTTATTTTTAGAATTAAAGTGGGACAAAGGTATAGATTAAAAGCTGCCAAGGAGGCCTGACCGAAATTAAAAAAAAAACCGTTAAGGCTACGTAAGGCGCCATGTAAGGGAGCGTGCGGTAAAATGATTTACCGCACGCTCCGTTGCAAGGCCTTTTTTTATAACGCAGGTAAAAAATCTTTTTACAGACCACGGCGCCTTTAAGAGGCACACCGCCGAACGGACCTCACACCTGGCTCCCGCAAGTCTTACGGACCCCCCAGTGGCTACCCATCGAGGACCCCGCAATTCTTACGGGCGCTTTACAGCATAATATCCGCTAAAAAAAGTCCTGCGAATACCTCTACACTGCTTAGTGCGGAGCCGCAGGGTCCCCGTTAGGGATTCTACCACGGCTCCGCCCCCAGCAGCTTCCCGGCCTCGCCGGGGCTCCACGCGTCCCCGTATTACCGCGGGAGACCCCTGTCTCCCGCGGTATTACGGGGACCCCGCAGACGTGCGCAGGTAGGCCCGCGCGTGGGGGCTGAGTACGCGGCCTAGTGCCCACCGTACCGCCCCCCGTCCGCTGCGGAGGGCTACTTGGGCGTTCCCGTCCAAGCAACCCTCCGCCGCCCCCCTTTGTAGGGCAGAACTACAAGAGGGGGAAATCCGTTGCAAGGCCTGCAATTTTGAACTTTCGAACAATATATATTATATCCTGCTTAAATGCATTTTTTGAGCAAATGTGTTGAAAAGTATATTATTATACTTCTGTGATTCACCCTTCGAGATTACACTTAATTCACTTGCTACGATGGCAGCACATAATGCGTGCTACTACAAATGAATTAAGTGTAATTTCTCGGGCGAATCACATCGTATAATATAAGTCGAACGTCACTTACAGTTAAATTCGTTTGTCTTTCAATTATTGCTCAAATTCATACTTAAAAAATACTTGACCTAATACTTGAAATTTATAACACAGTGGGCTGATAGATGTGTCCGTAGGTGTAGTTAACTATATTAAAATTACTTTTTTTTTATTCAAATGATATTTCGATTGCACCAACCTTTTCCGACGCTTGGCTTCTTACTAGCAACTATAATAATGAAAATAAAAATAAAACAACTGTTAATTATCAAACTTAAAAAAAATACGATTTTATGGAAACACGATGAAAGTGAAACTTTTAAAATGTTAATAAAAAGCTCTTCCTGGAATTAGAATCAAACCCGGGCCGCCCTGGTAGAGGCCGACCTTCTGACCACTAAACTAACGATGCTTGTTGAAAAGCTCTAAATTATGTATTGAATAAAATTGTATATAATTTCAATTGGTTAGTATCAGACGAGACTCGACTGAGGAGCTCGATGGCGCAAGTGGTTAGCGCGTTCGGCTGCGATAGTTGAATCTAAGCAACTTTCACAGAGGGCCCAAGACAATACTTGAATATTTTTGTAGAAAAGGTCTCTTTTAAATGATTATTTTTCTGGCGCTTCAACGGCCGCTGCCACGGCACGCTCGCTTTGCTTGCTCGGCTCGCGCGTTATGGTCACTACACTAACCTAACCTAACCTAGTGTAAAGTATCACCGCTTGGGCCCTGGAAGTACAGTTTAGCCGATGGGTGATCAAAAATTAACTATCTTGAGCTCCTCCCTGCTTCGGAAGGCACTTTAAGCCGTTGGTCCCGGCTGCATATGCAGTCGATAGCACCCACCAATACGCAATACGTGGGCTCGCGTGGTGGGTCATGGCCCAATTTCCCTATTCCATCCATAGGGAAGGCCTGTGCCTCAGCAGTGGGGACATGAATAGGCTGATGATGATGAGATAAGTCTCGAATCCATATACATTGCTACTAAATGCTCTGATTAAGGCGACTCTCACACTGCCCCGCACTACCCTGCGTACAGATCTGCATCCGCATGCCGGAGCTGCGGAGTGCAGATCTGATACTCTAGCACGAACATCGAAATCAGCGTAATCATCAGTTTCTTCTTAAGTCCGGTTGGGGCGGTGCTTAGTTTTCATGAAAAGGTTTCAAGGAGGTTTCAAACTTAGCGCTTGGTCCTTTGCATCATTGTGCAGATTTCGGCATACAAACTCTTGTTTCTCTGCTTAAAGGCACATGATCTGCAACACTGCACGTGAATGCGTTTTGAGTGTATTTCCACTACGCCTGTTCCAAAACTTGCAAATAAGAACACGCACTCCCGCGCTACGCAGCGTAGTGCGTGGCAATGTGAGATTTGCCTTATAGACCTGTTGATTATACTACTTTGACACGCTTGACGGTAAGGCTGAGCGCAGATTAGAGTCACGACAGTTGTTAGACAATCTTGTCTTACATAGACGAGACAGCTTTACAATTAAAAAGAAACAGTTGTGTCTACCACAAGGCGCACACCAAGACGAAACTGTTTTGTCTACGATGCGTCACACACCATTTTCATCAGTATCAGAATAGATTTCACCGATTATTTATTTTATAGATATTAAGGCACCAGCCCAGAAAGTTTTACCAGTAATTTCGAATGAATGTATCAATCTATCTTTGATAATTTGTCATAATTTATGGACCCACATATTGCTTATTTTGTCGTATATATTATACTTTCTTTCAGTATCGATTATCATCCCTAATCGCTAGACAATTTTGTCATTGGTGTGCGCCCTCGCATACATTACAAAGGGAAGCGGACAGTCGTTAGTCAGACTTGTCGCTTTGCAGTTCTTGTGTACATAAGACTTTTTTGTCTATGAGACGTCTCGTTTCGAATGTCTCTCTCTTATATAATCTTCATAATTTTTGTTAAGCAATAGTCTGTCTTGAGACTGTCGTGACTCTAATCTGCGCTCAGCCTAAGCAGCCATAAAAGCTTATTAGATTGTTCTAATACTACATAGTAAAGCAATTTATTAACAAACCGCCAACTCCGAGCCCGACAGCTGTAACAAAATAATAGTTAGTTACAAAATAACACTTAAATAAAAAAAAATGTTTACACGGACCACACATCTGAAGTGATACTTCTTTTCTTAAATAACCTAACATTAGGTGGTACAAAGGAGGAGGAGGAGCTCGATGGCGCAACTGGTTAGCGCGTTCGGCTGCGATCGTTGAAGTTAAGCAACTTTCCCAGTGGTCGGTCATTGGATGGGTGACCAAAAATTTACTATCTCGAGCTCCTCCGTGCTTCGGAAGGCACGTTAAGCCGTTGGTCCCGGTTGCATCTGCAGTCGTTAACACCCACCAATCCGCACTGGGCCCGCGTGGTGGGTCATGGCCCAATCTCCCTATTCCATCCATAGGGAAGGCCTGTGCCCCAGCAGTTGAGAATTAATAGGCTGATGATGATGATGATGAGGTGGTACAAAAGGCATAGGGGAATGGAGCAGCGCACGCATCACTGATACTTATTATAATTATATCGTGGCCATATCGTAGATTTGCTCACTTCATCACAACAAAGCGCTTGCAGCGCCTCTACCGGTAATTAATGTAACTACTTTACAATATGATCAAATAATTTTTGCCATTTCATGAAGTAGCCACGCGTTTAGTTGGCCATATCGTGAAACGGTTTCTCATCATTGATCTACCCAAACCACATCATGATGTGGCCAATAGATAGTGAAAATTTTCATTAAATGGTCGCATTTTCTCGAGCATTTCATGAAGTGATCAAATCTACGATATGGCCACGACATATATGTATTGTCGCATGTGACGCTCATAGTGTTTCAGCCTTCGCCGAGTACCCTCCAACTTTCATGCTCATCGGGAAGAGCTGCGCACGTATCTCACACACGCACACATACACATATATATATGACGACCTCCGTGGCCAAGTGGTTTGTACGCCGGGTTCCATGGCGTCGTTGACTCGAGAGGTCCCGGGTTCGAATCCCGGTGGGGGCAGATGTTTGTATGATGAATATGAGCATTTGTACTCCAGTCATAGATGTTTAATATGTATTTATAGAAATATACTTGTATATGTACAGTATGTGTATTCTATCCGTTACCCTAGCATACCATAACACAAGTCTTATAGTTAGCCCCGTCTTTCCCAGTGGGCACTTTGAGCAAGTCCCAGGCCCAGGGCCCCGTGATCGATAGGTGGGCACCTCAGATCACAAATACAAAGTCCCTAGTTCTTGTTAGATCACCAAACGAGGGTCATAGGGGCCCCATTATCCTAATATGCCCAGGGCCTCCAATAGGTCAAAGACGGCACTGCTTATAGTGCTTACTTTGGGGCTAGGCTAATTGTTGTGAGTGTTGGAAATATTTATTATTATTATTCTTATTATTATAGTCGTGTGCCAGTCGTGACGCATTTCCGTTTCACCTTTTGTATAGGATTTTTCTATTTACACTCCATACGAAAAGAAGTTTTACTTCAAAAATGGCGTTGTGAAAAGTGAAATTTTTAAAATCATCAATATAAAAAGTCCTTAGTCGGCTGAAATTCGATCCCGGATCACCCGAGGGGCAGGCGAGTTTTCTGCCACTGAACAACCGATGCATGTTGATTGAGTTTAGAATTTTAATAACAATTAAAACTGTAATGCGGCTTGCTAAACATGAAAGAAGAAATTAATGACGACGTTATAAACATTTCACTTGAAAAAAAATTTGTTGGTTATGATGTATAAAAGTTATAGATATGTCATACACGCTTCTAGTGTGGCAATACGAAAGTCAGGTAATTGCCCGACTTGCATTCAGTCGGGCACGCTCTCTTGCCGCGGCTACACTTCGCTACAACATGTAAATATGTAATTTTCCAGACAAAAAGCGATTAGAATAGTGCGATTCAAATAGGAATAGAAAAGCCATCTGTCAAATGTCGCTTTAAAAGTACGGTATGCAAAAAATCTTGGAACCCTTTTTTAGCACTAAGCTAATCTTAGAATAAATTCCAAACATTTGTAAACAAACTATTGTTTGTTTGTTACAAATATTGATAATTTATATCGGTTGATATTTTTGTTTCATTTATTGAGCTTTGGATATGAATGGTTGATAACCTAAATCGTCAACCAAATTTCACTTTAAGTTGCGTTCAGAAACTCGATTTAAAACTTTCGTTTACATAAAGGATGCATGTTCGTATGTGACCAAGTAATAGTGCATGATTTATTCATAACTACTCCAGCAGTAATGCAGAGATGAGCGGAATTGAAGAGCTAGATTCTGATTAATGTTTTTTCTCACACAGTCTTAATAATAAATATTATTAAATATCGTTTTTTTCTCAATCTTAGTAAATAAGTTCTATTAAATAAAAACTGTTTTTTTGCTCGATCTACCTATTTGGTTTGAATGGACAGCTAGGACGTCACAATATGGCGCCCAGTCCGTCCTATTCTTAATTGAATCGCATTATATGTGTGTTTTAAGATAGTACACAAAATACACGGGAACATTAAGAGATAAGAAAAGCCTGCCATTTCATTCCTAAGTACAGTTTAAAAGATATTGATGTAAAAATATTTAGTGATTAATTAGTTTGACAGTTGCTGATACCGTTGACACGTGAAGTTTAACGAGCGAGATGTATTTGCTTTATAAATGAGAGCGAAAGAGACTACTTCAGAGCGCTTGAAGTGATGGCGGGGGGACTACAACTTGTGCCATTTTAAAATGCAACAATGTTGGTGTATGACCTGTCTATATATTATACTTTATTGTTGTTGGTACTTACGAATATTACCAAGAGTTCCAAGTCCAAGTCCGTCTGTAAACAAGAAAATCAATATTTTTATTTCATGAACAACATTTATTACATACCTATAAATCTGAAGCCACGTATGTGCAGCGAAAGAGAACGCTTCGTTTCCCGTTTGTGATCTGGACTCTTGGGATATTTTTGTTGCAAAGGACATTGGGAAAAAATGTATGGGCGCTGCACCCACATCCGCCACGGCTTAAACTACATTTGTTTGAAAGGTATTATAGTCATGATCATATGTGACAAAGCGCATCAAATTCCATCCCGGGGGTCTTTACTTATTTTTGGTTAAATAAGTACAAGTTAATACATACCTATAACGAACGAACATTAATGAAATAAGGGAATTAATTTAGTTAGTTCGACTACATAGAGGGCTCAGGTATTATGGGACTACTGCACAAGATGCCTTTGTGTTATTCTGCCGCGTTAGAGTAAATCCAAAAATCCCCGCATTGGTTGGGGTTTTTTCAAACAGTCTGTTCGTAATATCAAAAATCACACAAACTTGTCCACTCTTCGAAGAAAACGTGATTTCAGTTCATCCATACTAATGGACAAAACCGATAATCGTGTTCCAATGTCCAAAGCGTGTTAGATAAAAATCAATCAAGTGACAGGGAGCGCACAATCGCAACGAAGTAAGACGAGTCGACAATTTGCAACTGCAAATCCTTCAACCCCCGTAAACCGTTTTAAGGTGGTTCAGTAAGTGCAAGCGCAGGATAGTCGGCATGCTTTGTCATCTATATCAGGCTGTATAGTACGATATGGCACATTATTATGGTTACTAATAATATAAAATGAAGGCACTATAAAGTGAATTTATTTAGCTACTTAAATTTTAAGTGAATTCACTTTACATGGGCATATTTAAATTGCCCATTTGTCATATCTTTTGACTCCCAGGATATTTATTTTCGGTGTTATAACAAAAAAGGCTCGTTTTTCATAGATCTATCAATTTATACTAATTAAATTGTTGGTGGAGCTATGTGCGTTTTGCCCATTGTCCTTTTGTTGTATCTTTTTAATATAAAAAAAAACGAGCGAACCTTACAGTAGTCGCGTATGATGTGTAACATTTGAAACCTCACCTCGCGCACAGCTCACATCTCTGCTTCCATCGCTCCATACAAATATTACACATCTCCGTACAGCCATCTCCACTGAAGCTGAGCGGAGAGGAGATGTGTCAATAACACAATTCTATTGGTTGTTTAAAAAACATCTCCTCTCCGCTCGTCTCGTCACCGCTTTGGTGGAGTCCCGGCATATGAGTGGCAACCACCCTTACGGCGCGATTAACTGGTGCTGCCAGCGGAGATAAGTCTGCCCTAACTTCCTTGATATTGAAGATGTTAATGTTTAGTTACACTTAATATAAATACCACTATTTGTATTTATACTGTATGACGCAGCAATCAAAATGCAGGTAAACAATTAATGTATATTTAAACATTATGTAATGAAAGGTGACTTCATGAATCATCTCTGAGGTCATTTTTCAATTTGACGACTCCGTAAATAATAAAACAGGGAGAAAAAAGCAGCCCTTGTGAATTTCTTGCCGGTTTTTCTCAGTACAAGGTCTCGCGCCGTAGATTTACGAACCGATGATGGCGTAGCTTCTAGACATTCATGAGTGCTTGTAACAGCCTAAACTGAATAAATGATTTTGATTATGATTATTACACTTGGTCGGTAGCCCAAATACGAGTGCCGATGGAATTCGGGTAAACGATAAGTGTTAATGAACGGAGCCGAGGAAGATTTCCTTTTGTTTACCCGACACCGTCTTCCAGTCCGTATTCCAGTGTAAATATTGTTTCGGGTGCCCGAATTCGAGTAATGTCTTTCGTGCACCCGGATACGGGCTAACGACCAAATGTAGTTCCGGCATTATATAAAAATTAACAAATAAATAAATTAACATACCGAGAAGTCCCGCGCCAGCTGTAAAAAAATGCAATATTAAAAAAAACTAAATAAATATTCTTACGAGCTCAACTGTATATAGTAATTAAATTCATTAATGGTAAATAATTATTGCACTGGAAAATAATGAGCGATATTGCTTCTTTTTGTTGCTTTTTAAAAAAACCACAAAAAATTTAGATTTAAAATTTTTTTTAGAACATAATATTACAATACATACAAGGGCAGTAGCGTATCTCAGACGTTTTCTCGAAATAGATACCTACAATTGAGCGGAGCGCTAGGGTTGGTACTGTAACGTCCTTGACGTTGCAGCCTCCTTGTTTAGGTAAACTCTTTGCTTTTGCAATGCCTACGGTTGGCAGTTATATTAAAAAGTTAATGTCATGATTTTAAGATTTGAAATAAGGAATCGTCTGTCTTTTGATAGAAGGTTCCATTGATTTTTTAGATCTTCAGGCACCAAGAAATCCTCTCGTATTTAGATAAAATACTTTTATATTAGCCTGAATGATAATACAAAATAAATAACTTATCCCTACCAGTATCTTTCAATTAATATCTACGTCCCCAGGTTCTATCCCTTCTGGGTAGAACTCTATAGTACCTACAAAATGTTAAACATTTTTGTGTAGATTTTTATTGTATGTGTATAGTTACTATTGCCACGTTACGGAATCGAAACGGAGGCAGACGACAGCGCAGCTAACTTAACTCGGCCAACGACCAGTCTCGGCCACGCGCGACGGGGCACTGCGTAGATTTGTCTTGCCAAAATTGGTTAGCGGTCGTGTAAATTACGTTTGTCTGTGTGCGTGCGTCGATTCGCGCGCTAGTATGAAGTCGGAGTACTGCTCTTGTATGTATTGTGATAATATGTATGTATTTATATATTTAACTAGCTGACCCGGCGAACTTCGTACCGCCTTAGCGTAGCTTTGATGCACTACTTTATTTTGTATAGCTGACCTATCTTATGTATGATTTTTTGTTTTAAATTGAATGACGTCGACATTCGTTACGTTATATTTTTCAATCTTTCTGAGAGATTTTCTTTATATTTTTTTCCGTAAGAACCTTGTACAGAGTATTAGAAAACTACAAAAAAAAAACAACCAAATCGGTCAAGCCGTTTTCATGTTATGTCGTGACAACGGAAAACGGGTTTCATTTTTATATATATAGATAATTTAGTACACACACAATAAAACAGATAAGAACAGGAACAATTTGTACAAGGGCACTGCTTATTTCATATTGAAATTTCTTCTAGCAGGTCCGCGAGGCAGGCGAGCAAGGAAAAAGAAAAATAAAAGAAATGTATTTATAATTTGATGAATGGAATGAAATGAAATGAAATTATGCTTTATTTAAATTTACCTATTAAAAGCTCTGTTGAATAGTCCAATATTTTTTCCTAACGGGTGGTGATCTTTTAGCTGATGAGAAGAATTAATTATGAAATGAAGTGTCTTTTACAGAATGTTATAAAAATGTAGTAGTCAAGTTCACATAATTCCAGTAGCATTCCAGTATAGCGGTTGAATCCAGCGCTGGAACGTTACTGGAATGATGTGAACTGGCACTGGAATTTTCCCATTCCAGTGAGTTATCCAGTCCAGTTACTGGATTGACGATCTGCTTTTCATTTCAGCGCCATAACTTTTTACTTAGAAAGAAACGTGGTGTGTAATCGAATTTATGTGAGCAGTGACTGTAAACTGTCATTTGTACTGAATTGGACAAACTGATTTTTTGTTAGTATTGTTGCTATAGTGGCAATGTTTACAAAAAAGCACGTCGAAAATTTTCACTGTCAAACAATTAACCCAACACTGGAATGGCAGTCTACGCTATTCCAGGGCCGCTGGATTGGGTGAGCTGGATTAAAAAAGAGACCGTCAATCCAGTCACTGGACTGGATTACTCACTGGAATGGGAACATTCCAGTGCCAGTTCACATTATTCCAGTAGCGTTACAGCGCTGGATTTAATCGCTAGACTGGAATGCTAATGGAAATAATTTGAAGAGGACAAGTATGTAACTTCCTTAAGTATAGTCCATGTTTATAGTCTTTTTCTTTCCTGTGAGGAAAGAAAAAGAGGGCTCGTGACATGACGTGAAATTGTAGTTTGTACATTTGAGTTCTTGTTTTTTTTTTATAGATAGGTCCACAAACAAATGACAAATGACTCCACCCCACCCGATGTCAAGTAAAGGTGAAGACCAGACGCGAAGATAGCTGATACAGCAGTTCTACCTGCCATAACAGCCATCCTCACCCTGTCGGCCTGCATGTTGCTTCTTCTCGCCTCTTTTAAAGGATCCCAGGTTGAAAGCGGCACGGAACACGTGAGCGGGCAGAGCATTCCATTTACGGATAGTGCGACAAAGAAATGAGTCACCAAATTTCTTTGTACGCGTTGGAATTGTAGCCACAGTTAGACGGTGACAACGTAAGCCAGCGCACGTGTTAACAAAACATCGATAAATTATACTTTTTTTTTATGTAATTACATAATTACTTACCAGGTCTTGCAATGGACAAGGCAATGGTTACCTGAAAAATTAAGCCAAAATGATAATTTAATTTTATATTATAAATGCATTGTTCGGTACTATACAGGGCGTCCCACGGCTACCCCACACGGAGGGAAAGTATATTAAATATTAAAGATAGGATATTTTATTGAAAGAAGACATCATTTCATTTTTAATAATAACTAGAACTGCATTCACAGATTTTTTTAAAATCGACTGCTACAACTGGGAATCAAACTCGTGAAATTTCGAAAAAAAAAACACGACATATTTTATGATAACCATCGAAAGGGTTTATCATAAAGATTATTTTTTACTAAATAACATAGCATTTTAAATGAAAGGAATGTCTTATTACGTGATAAAAATAATAAAGTGATACACAAACTGTAGTACGTATGCATTTATTTTTGAACTCAGTTACAATGCGTTTGGCTGAAATTTGTAAAAATAATAATTCGAAAATGGAACACATTCATTTTCAAGCGTCTGTACGAACCAATATCGAATTCAAATAGTTTGCGAGTGTGAAATGTCAATGTCAAATTCTGTATGGAAACAGAAACCCACGAAGTACGTAACGAGAACTAAAAATCAGTACTTTATGACATTTTCAGTTGATAATGACATTTCGCACTCGAAAACTATTCGAATTCGATATTGGTTCGTGCTAAGGTACTGTTCTTTTTTTGTGTTTTTGACGTGACAACGTCTTAAATTGGGTTGCGGCTGGGAGTCACTTATGAAAAAGTGTAACGCTCGGTAACGTTACGATGAGTCTCTCGTGTTAAGTTTAAGTTTACATGTACAATGTTTTAGTAAACAAAATATATTTCTATAGTTAAAATTTGTGCAATTCTTATTTTCATTCAATTCCTTGTTCCTATTGTGCAATTTAATTATATTCATATCAATAAATATTCTACCGAGAAAAAGACGTTGTCACGTAAAATCTTCGCCCGTAAAACCGACTTTACAGGCAACCATTTTTTCATTTTAGTTAAAAACTGGGTTCTCTTAATACATTTTTACAAAGGGAATCTAAATACGGAAAGATATCTAGTAATACCTAATATTTTAAGAGGTGAGATCAATAATCTTTCTGATGAAAATCGACGAAATCTCATTTTCCAGCAAAACGGGGCTCATAACAGTAGGAGAACTGCCAAGTTCCTTAATGAACACTTTCCTTCCTGGATCGGTTCTTATGGACAAATAAGATGGCCAGCGAGATCCCCAGATCTAACCCCACTGGACTTTTTTTGTGGGGTTATGTAAAAGATGTAGTATACAAGAACGCGTAAGACAGTATGCAGGAGTTACAAAATTAATTCAGACGTATTATTACAAACATTCACCACGCAAAGATAATGAAATCGACAGGCAGAGAAAACATTAATAGAGTGAGAATTTGCATACAACAAATTTTGAACATTTGATTTCACCGATTCGTTTTTTATTACTTTTTGTTGAATATTTTTTAATACAATGTGTAATTTTATGACTTTTCTTTCATTTAAAAGGCTATTTAATTTAGCAAAAAATAATTGTTATGATTAACTCTTCCGATGGTTATCACAAAACATGTCGTGTTTTGTTTTTCGAAATTTCTAGAGTTTGATTCCCCGTTTTAGCAGGCGATTTTAAAAAAAATTGTGAATGCAGTTCTAATTATAATTAAAAATAAAATGATGTCTTCATTCGGTAAAATATCCTATCTTCAATATTTAATATACTTTCCCTCCGTGTGAGGTACCCGTGGGACGCCCTGTATATCTAATTTTTAATATGACTTATGGAGCTATGCAGTCCCAAATTAAATAAAAAAAAACTCTGATAAGGCTCTAACGAGCTGTGACCTTAATGCTACTGAGACCTTGATGGCGTTTGTCGAATTTCTTCTAGTATTTCTTAGACTGCAGGTTCGAAACCTGTCTGATGCCTGGACCGCGAGTTCTTATTAGTATTTTTTTTAACTTTTTTAAAATCTAACCGTTAAATGCTTAATATATAAAAAGTATAATCAACTCAAAAAGAGCTTATCATGGTTCAGGCTCATTCTATCTCTATTTGAGTTTATATAAATTAACCAAGATGGAATGATGCATTAAACAGGATTAGGGCGTGTGTTAACGACCGATTTTCCGCCTGGCCTAGGCAAGTTTTCCTCCCGGGCCGGTGCCCGCTAAGCTTCTTCACAAGGACTGTTTGTACGTTAACTTCTTCACAAGGACCGTTTGTATAAGGACTGTTTCTACGTTAACTTCTTTACAAGGACTGTTTGTACGTTAATACCGTCGTTAACAAACCTCTATAGTGTCCCTTAGTGCGGGAGCACACGATTTGTTGCGGCGGCGGTGCGGCGACGGCCGCATAGAAATATCTGTGGCATGTCACACGATGCGCTCCGGCGCCGCACCGGACTTGCAACCACCGAGATAAGGCGGGGAGGGGTGAATGCGTTGCAACGTCGGAGCGGCACCGCTCAGTTGTTTATGCGTCAAAGAGAATGTACGCTGCTGGGGCGTCGGCGGACTGTACTACGCCGCCGCGCACAGATCCATGCACCCCGCAAGCTCTCCGGACATAAACTTGTAAGTTTCTGCCTCCGTCAGACTGCCTGGCGCCACTCAGTGCCAGCGTTGACTGCCCCGCACCGAGCCGCAAGCCTGAGCGCGCCGCAAGGCGCAGCTCGGCCCAGGATCGCGCAGGCGTAGCCCCCAGCACGCAGCAAATATGAAGCAATACCAACTGCAGCCAATACCCAGCTTGGCCGACTCCAAGGCCCTCTACGCGGCCAAAATGAGCGAAACGGGATCGCCGCGTATCCAATATGAATTGGATGCAGCGATGTCGTGTCGGCTCATCGAATCCGGCCTTCTATCGTGGAGGATGGAGAGATGGCTGTGGGTCTTCATCCGCCTCCTGGAACAAGACGCAAGCTCCTGCACCGATTACGGCCCCGATGACGAGAAAATCGTCGAGGCATGCAAATATGCAAACCACAGGTCACTTACCTTCCCAGCGGCATCTGTCCTATACATGAAGGGCATCAATAAGGAACCGGAAGAGCGACGCACCCGCGGCACACAACCGCGTGATCCGCGCCTCCCCCGGTCTCGCAGCGTCGGAGACACCCCCGAACCCCGGCAGACACCACTACCCGAAAAGGTAATCCCTCCTGCACCGCAGCATGAATACCAGCCCGCGCAAGAAGCCGCCCCCGCTGCCCCAGAAGAGCCACAATCAGAGCAGACTGCTTTACCGACGCAGTCGTACGCACAGGCCGCGGAAAAATCCGCGCCTGCCCCCGAAGCCGTCAAAAAAAATACAACCACCGCCGGTCCAGCCACAACCGCACAAATTGCGCAACCGGCCTCCTGCAGCGCTCCCACGTCCCAACGGACACGCAAAAGTCCGCCGATTGTGGTTGAGCAGCTGCCGTACTGGCCGAAGCATCTGAGCGCTATACAGCAGAAACTTGGACGCTCGCCCAACGTACGCCCGTTTGGCTCGGGTGTACGTTTCTTGCCGCAGGATGACGACGAGACCCGACTCGTCCAGGCCTACCTTTCCGGACTGGAAGGTCAGGCCGGACTAAGTTGGTACTCGCACGCCCATCACGATGACAGAAATCTGAAGGTGGCCATCAGAGGACTGCCTACCTACACCCCGCCGCAGAATATTGCTGAGGCCCTTACCGCAAAGGGCTTCACAGTAGACCACGTTAAGGAGATCCGGGCGCGAGCAGGCCGCACCGGATGCCTCTACTTCGCCTCACTACGCCGCACCCCCGAGACCATCCCAGCCATCTACTCCGTAGGTGAGTTACTGCATATGACTGGAATACAAATAGAGGCCTGGAGAGGAAGAAAGACCCCCGCGCAGTGCCACCGCTGCCAGGGGTTTCGCCACTCCAGCCACGGATGTCACCGACCGCTTGCCTGCGTGCGCTGCGGTGACCCGCACGCCGCCGCCGACTGCCCCCGCCCGCTCACACAGCCCGCGATTTGCGCGAACTGCGCAGGCGCGCACCCCGCTACTTACAGCGCGTGCCCCGCGAAACATCGCGAGGCGCGCAACCGCCGCGCCACTACAGTGGCCCGCACGGGCCGCCCGCCCACCGAGCCATACCAGCAGCCCACCGAGCCATACCAGCAGCCCACCGAGCCATACCAGCAGCCCACCGAGGTGAGCGAGCACGCGCCGGCCACGTTAATGGCCCCCGCGAACGCTTCTCCCTCGCACACCAGCCGGCCCATACGACGCAACCGAAGACCCCGTCGCGCGAGCAACGCATCGCCGACGGTCACGCCCCCTGCAGCCCCACCACCCAAAGATGGCAACCCCAAAGATGACAACCACCACGAAGAAGCGACAGCCCGCCTGATGCAACAGCTCACGATACTGCTCACGGACTTTGTAAAAAAGTTCGGGCAGTCTGGAAAAACTTTTTTGGCACCCACCCTCGAACACGACGCTACCCCTGCCCGCTGAAGTCCGTCGCCCGCTCGCTGGTCGCTCACTGGGCCTCCATCATGGGTCTCACCCGGTGGGCTTGACCGCGCCGAGGGCGATGTGTGAAGAAGCGGAGGCGGGGGTAAACAGCCCCAACGACCGTCGCGTCTGAAGACGTGATGCGAACCCGCCACCTCTGCAGTGAGCAACCGCTCAGGTCAGACTCCCCGCACGCCGCGGCGCCTTCGGTGCCGGCGACGCGCGAGACGACGAAAGAGAGGGGCGTCGGCGGCACTGATGCGATGTAACAACGTTTTCGGTGCCGCACCGCTTGAGTGCCCACCGATCACCGCAACGCATCATGTGCTCGCGCACTTACTTAACTGACGACCCAACATAGAGAAGGTTTAAATCCGTCCTTAGACCCGGCGGAAAACCGTCCCGTTAAGCAACCTTAATCCTCAATTTAAATTAAGAAATAAATTAATAGTATATTTATATTTACCAAAAGAGGGATAACGATAGCCGTTCTCATTTTTGTTTTTTTTTCAATATGTATTTTTTATAATTTCACTACTTCACTCCACTTGGAACTATATCAGAATCATACTTCGCCCTCTTTATATAGTAAAAAAAAAATAGTGAATAAAAAAACACCAACAAGTGTGTAAATATTTATGTATTGTAATTGTACTACAAACACACATTTCATTAAATGTATATAAGTCGACGGTAAACGTCTAAAGAATAAGCAATAAAATAATTTATAATACGTAAAGAATAAGCATCTTTATATTAATGACAATCGGACATGTCTGCCGGTCTCGTCCACCAAGGGTTCCGTACAGATTTGTAGGAACGCAACATAAACGGCCATATCTTTTTTTGGAGTTTACTCCTTAAGAATCAATATATAAGGGGCCCGGTATGAGAAAAATGTGAGGAGTAAAATCTATCGATGAATGACCTCGTTACGTTTTTTACTTTAATATGTGGAGCTGGCGAACAAAACGATATAATTATGCATCTGTACCCCTAGCACGAAGCATTATCGAATTCGAATAGTTTTCAAACCGAAATGTCTATGTCAAATTTTGTATGGACGTAACGGGAACTAAAAATCAGTACACATTTGACGATGACATTTCGGACTCGCAAACGTTACGAATTCGATATTGGTTCGTGCTAGGAGTACTGGTCAAACTACTTTTTTTGTACAGTCCGGAGGTTTCGGGACCGTTGAATTTGAATCTCATATAATTTTCAATCAAAACCGCCTAAAACAGTTTTAAAATTACTAAATTTATATTTTTTTTATTTAAAACATATACTGAAATCTATGGTCCCCTGAACCATAGATTTGAGTATATGTTTTAAATTTTGTCTCGATACCTCCATGTGTTCCCGAGATAACAGACAGAGTCTCTTGACAGAGACGGATGGACGGACAACAAATGAATGAAGTGGATCTACATAAGGGTAGCGTTTTTTCCTTTTTAGATCATCATCATCGGCCTATTAATGTCCCCACTGCTGGGGCACAGGCCTTCCCCATGAATGGAATAGGGAGATTGGGCCATGACCCACCACGCGGGCCCAATGCGGATTGGTGGGTGCTAATGACTGTAGATGCAGCCGGGACCAACGGCTTAACGTGCCTTCCGAAGCACGGAGGAGCTCGAGATAGTAATTTTTTGGTCACCCATCCAATGACCGACCACTGCGAAAGTTGCTTAAGTTCAATGATCGCAGCCGAACGCGCTTACCACTTGCGCCATCGAGCTCCTCACCGCCTCGCCTTTTTAGATATGGAACCCTAAAATGATAAAGACACTGCAATAGTTCAGTGATGATTGAATAGTTGGCTACCGGTGCTATTTTTTTAATTGACTCGATTCTACAAAAGAGTTTGTTTATACAGGTGGGGCGATGTTCATGACGACTTTGTTTGTTGACTTTGAAGTTGTGAGCGGTCAGGGGTGTCCAAGCACCTTGGAGCGCTCGTGTGCAATCATGCCCCTAACCAGCGTGACCATATGCAGTAGATTTCTACTTTTTTGGTAGATTATGACCTTTCATCAGTAGGAAATCAGTATTTTTTTGGCAGATTTCAGAAGTGAGCTACTAAAGGACAATGGGCAAAACGCACCCAGCTCCGCCAACAATGTAATTAGTATGAATCGATAGATCTATGAAAAACTAGCCTTTTTTATTATGGCACCAAAAAAAAAATAACCTGGGGGTCAAAAGATATACACCTGGGTATGTTCTATATTAGGGGTTAAGGTTTCCGCACATAGTCCTTATAGACGACCTTTGTGTGTAAGTCATGGGGACCGGTTACACACGGGCATATTTAAATAGCTCCTTATAGAGAAGCTCGATGGCGCAGGTGGTTAGCGCGTTCGGTTGCGATCGTTGAAGTTAAGCAACTTTCGCAGTGGTCGGTCATTGGATGGGTGACCAAAAACATCTATCTCGAGTTCCTCCGTGCTTCGGAAAGCACGTTAAGCCGTTGGTCCCGGCTGCATCTGCAGTCGTTAGCACCCGCCAATCCGCACTGGGCCCGCGTGGTGGGTCATGGCCCAATCTCCCTATTTCATCTATAGGGAAGGCCTGTGCCCCAGCAGTGGGGACATCAATAGGCTGATGATGATGATATTTAAATAGCTAAAGAAATTCATTCAATATCAATAGTACTTTCGTTTTATAATATTAGCAATAATAAGTGAGTGAATCATATCTTACTGTACAACCAGATACAAAATACTAAACAACAAAGCCTATCGACTATCCTGCTTGCTTGCTGCTTGCACTTACTGCGACTCCTCAAAACGTCTAACAGGGTATGAGGGTTGAAGGATGTGATATTGCAGTTGCCGTTGCAACTAGTCTACTCGTATGCAGTCCTATGTCTTACATTTTGTGCGCTCCCTGTTATTTCATTGATATTTAACTAACACGCTTTAGAAATAGGAACACGATTATCATCGCGTACGTCATTATAATCGTACAATAATAATAATAAATAAATAAATATTTCCAACATTCACACCAATTAGCCTAACCTTAAAATAAGCATTGTAAGGCTGATGTTATGGGATACTAGGGTAACGGCTAGAATACATATGTATATAAGTATATTTATACAGAAATACATATTAAATATCCACAACTGAAGTAATAAACGCTCGTATTCATCACACAAACATCTGCCCCCACCAGGATTCGAACCCGGGATCTCTCGAGCCAGCGACACCATGAAACCCGGCGTACAAACCACTCGACTATATACTCGTCCTTGTATCTTTAAATATTTTGTTCGTTATAGTTACTTTTACCTATGGAATTGTACCTATTTAACTTAAAATAACTAAAGACTCCCGGGATGGAATTTGATGCGCTTTGGCACAAATGATCATGACTGTGATACCTTTCAAACAAATGTAGTTTAAGCCGTGGCGGACGTGGGTGCAGTGTCCATGCAATTTTGCCCATTGTCCTTTAGTAGATTATAATTTTTTAATGATTGTCACCCAAAAAATTCAAATTCTCTTTTGCCTATGGATGCGGGATTTCCCTGCCCTACAGGATAACCTATACAGGTTTTTGTGAGGTATGAAAGAGACAGACAGACTATGTACTCTGCTTGCGATAGTTTGTCTCTTCCCCCCCCCCCCCCAATTTTCAAGTCTTTTTTGAGTAAAGTAAACTTTAAGTAATTGCGGGAAGTTGAGTTTTTTTTTATTAAAACAACATTCAAGACCATTATGTCACAAAAAAAGACTGCAAAATACCTACTACGAAAAAAGATAAGAATTTTTGAAACCTTGCTGGCAGAAATCATTAAAAATACACAAAAAAAATTATAACTCGAAAACTAAGAATAAACGCGGAACATACATGGGGTATTTTCGGATACCCCCAGGTGCGAGGAATCTAAAAAAATTTTGTTGAAGTCACTAGTCGGACCACCTGTATAGTATATTAAAATAATGTACATATAATAAAATAATATAAATAATGTATAAAAAAAAAATAAAAAAAACAGTAACACCTTGTACAAATATTTGCGTAAAGCCGGTCCACACAGCACTTACATTATGCTTGCGTGTATGTAAGAAACTAAACGTGCGGACGTCCGGTTTGTTGTTGGCGCGAAAGATTTTATTTATTTATTCATACAATTGAAAAACATACGTATACATTACAAAGTCCATACACGAAAACTTTTCAAGGTTTAAATCTGTGTCTGAAAGCCAGTAATTAATATTTGTTTATAAATTGTCAAGATGACCATTCTGTAGGTAGTATTTTTGATATATGAATTTATATTTACTAATAACAGAGTTCGAGTATATTTCCTGTAAATTACTAGACATATTTTGATAGAGATAAAAAGTTTTTAAATAACACAGTTTTCTCTTTCAATAGACATTATTATATCTTGGCAATAAATGTTTTATACGATCCATTACATTTCTCAGATTATCTGGTCTATTGAAAGATTGATATTAGTGTCGATTCTACCATGATTCTCTAAACTTAAATCTAAATTTAACATCAGTCTCTCCTTTTCATTCTGTATGGAAAATGACAAGGATACACTGTTGTCAAATTTAAGTTAGGTTTAGAGAATCATGCCGGAACCATTTCTTATCTTTTGGTAGATGAAAATTAATGTTTTGTTTAGTGCCGTGTTGACGACGAAAATTGTATGGACTTTTGTTTGTGCAAAACTTTACGCTGCGTTATCCTGTGACGTGTTAGTTGGCTTTAATGTAATTGTTCCTTCTATCAATGCATATTACCAGTACGTAAATATTTGAATTCACGGTCAATGCCTATTATAATTTATGTGGAAAAAGCTGCGTTTGTTTGTCACATTTTTACCACAAGACAATGAACCCAATCAATGTTTCAACAGTTCGAAAATCATTTTTAGGTTCCTCATACGATTTTTGATTTTATATGACTGTTTAGGATCTACAACGATTTCAAGTACTATATCAACCACTTACGCCTTTAATTTCAATCTTACGTTTGTATGGATCTTTGACACTCTTTTACTCAATAAATAATTGTATATCACATTTTTACGAAAATTGAGGCCCATCTGTAGCTGTTCATGAATAGCTCCATCTAGCGATCGGACGTAACAACGCACGAACAAGGACAGCAGAGGTTTGGTCGTATCGTTCCTTTCTTTCCCTAATCGTATTTGTGCTAAAACTGTGATTAATTACAGGTAATTCGTCTCGCAAATCTGGTTCGCGTGATTAAGCCACGGTGTTTGCAGAGAAAATCGTGAGTACCCTTGTTTTTCATAAAGTGCTAAAATGAGTCTAGTTGTAGAAAATATGGATAGGATATCTGTGCGTAGCAAGTCTCCTTTGCCGGTTTTAGAAAATATCAGTGATAATGTGATTCACGATTTAAATAAAAAACGCGGAACAATCAAGGGTAGATTGACACTTTTTACGAAATTTGTAAACTCCTTTAACGGCCAACCGTTAAACGATAGGCAGTTAAAAG